TTTGTTTGTCTGCTTACATTAAAAATCAATTCAAAAACTGAAGCAAGAAAATGAATTACTAAATTCTAAATTACTTTTTTATAATAGAATGTTACTCTAACTGTTGATAACTTAACAAGCATTTAATGCTATGCTGAAACGTTGCATAGCTTCTCGAAAAAATTTAATCAGAAATTAATGTAACAAAAAATTGACAAACTGTTCTATACGATCGCGAGTGATTCCTTACAATCTGCAAACGCAGTTGATTTAGCTTTTATTCTAATCTTCAAGATTAGAAATTGTACTCTAAGTGTTGATAACTTAACAAGCATTTAATGCTATGCTGAAATGTTGCTTAGCTTCTCGAGAAAATTTTAATCAGAAATTAATGTAACAAAAAATTGGCAAAATGTTCTTACAATCTGCAAACGCAGTTGATTTAGCTTCTATTCTAATCTTCTCTGTTACCGCTTGCTCCTTGTTGTTGTTGCTCTTCTTCTTCAGGATGTGGCTTATGATCAACTTCCATGGACAGTTCCACGTCTCTCTCACTTGGTAACAGAGCTGGGTCACGTGCCACTTCTATGGTTAGCAAGCCTTCTTTGGACAAGCGTGACGTCACTGAACTGAGTTCTGCGTCGTCAGGCAACAAAACGCGACGGCTGTAATCACGTGACAAATATGAACCGTCTTCTTCCGCTCTGTGTTTTCCTGTGACCGTGAGCTCATGTCCACGAAGTTGGACCTTGATTTCTTCTGGTTTGAATCCGCGTAGATCCAATCTTACCACGAACTTGTCATCGTCTGTTTTTGTTTTCTCTTCAACGCGTTTGATGCCTTCGAGGACAAGAAAGCTGTCATCTTTAGATACACGTGACGTCACTGTTGTGGGATCTACGTCTTCCGGGAGCTTAATGATTTTCTTGAACTCACTATTCTCAAATCCATCTTCTCCTTCGGATCGATGCTGGCCGTGTAAGGTTATATTTTCTCCATCAACATCAAGTGAAATTTCTTCTGGTTTGTATTGGTTCAGTGGCAGTGAAGCGATTGTGACTGGGCCGGAGTGTTTCCTTTGCTGACAACATATGTCTCGCCCTTGTTCCCCAAAGGAGAGAGCTATGTCTCTCCATAAATCACGCAAAAGCCCATAACCTGGGACGGCTTGATTATAGTAACTGCTGTAGCTGAAAATGAAACAAAAAAAATGGTTACTTTGGGTGATTTCTGAGACTGAACAGATCGATGACTTGAAATTTGCAGCTGATTTACTCAGTACAAGTAGTGTATATTTTTAGTGAATGTTCCGTATACAAATACACATGTGTTAATTCAAACTATGAACAAATCACCTTTCATCAGTTATATAATATAATTTGAATACTGAAACTCCAATCCACAGAAAAAAAGTCACAAGTAAAAAGCTTTTAATGTCTGCCTGATATGTATATCTGCCAATGTTTTCGAACCGCCTGAAAGTCATAAGAATAGGCTTTTGATACTCTATGGCTGTCCTATTGCTTAATATGCATTGATCAATTATGTACGCATATAAGACTGAATATCTTAAAAGGGAAGATGACCATAGGGACGACATCCAATTTTAAAAGCCAAAAAACTTGTAGCACACCATCAGTAAGAATCAATCGAAGCATGCAGGCGAAAGAGTATTTTGTTATAAAAATTGACTCTTAATAGAGAAGAAAAATAATTGCGAAAAGCTTACCAAGTTGGATGATAGGTTGGAAATCTGAAAACGAGGGCCATACTGTCGAGAACTTTAGTTGTAATTTTACTTCTTGAAAATCTTCAGCGATATCTTGAGTCTTTGGGTTTTTTTTGAACTGATGGTTGGTGAGCCAAAATCCATGCCTTTTATAATAAAAAGATTTCTTCTCGAACCATCGATCGTTGCTAAAATTAAATAATTTGTCAGAGCTTCGTAAGTATGACTGGTAGCTGATTCATCCTGACAAAACCTGACTGGACAAAAATACAGTTCTTTTGGTTTTTTCGTGAAAAAACGAGACGTTTCTCGAACTTTCTGTTCTGCCCAAAATGCAAAATCAGCAGTTTTACATCGCGCGAAAGGTCTGCTGGGACAATTTGACGTCATTCTCCAAAACAACAACAAGGTCATGAGAACAAAATGGCGGACATGCGAATAGCATGTGTCGTTGCGAATTTTACGCCAATAAGTAGTATTGTAATTCATAGAAAAACACGGAATTGATCGTAGTGATGCCTTGGTTCTTCCCTTGGTCTGACTTCATAAAGAAAAGGGCCTGTAGGTATTTATTACAGCATTATCCGGGCATTATCTCGGCCATTTTCTAGCTGCAGGAAAAGCTGATGTTGACCAGCTGACTGTGGATCTTTAGAATCAGCTGTTAGAATGGATCAGGAAGAGTAGATAAAGCTCATCTGGACATTTTGGGTAGGTGAAGTCAGTTTGGAGTAACTTCAGAATACTCGTCACTGCGGACCGCGGTAGAACAATAACTTTGAAGAGAAAATAGAGGGTCTGTGAACAGGCTATTTGGATACATGATCCGAAGCATTTCTTTACTATGGATCCAAAAGGAGTGAATATTGCCAGCGGTAACTTGCAACAATTTTAATACATAGATCAGCTTCTTGACAAGACTGCTTATCATAGATTAAATGAGCCAGCAATGTTGGAAGTTGTTGCATCAGTGTTGGCAGCTGTGTGCAAACGGATGCAACAACTCCCAACAATATTGGGACTTGCAGTGCATTGTGAGAAGGGTACAACCCATAAGACATTGTAAACTCAAAGAGGACCATGTGTAATGTGTGAGTGGCCCCCAAAATGTTAGAAGAGCCGTGCAAACAGATCTAACTTTGCGCAACTACTCCCAATAACATGCAACAGGGTGTGCAAATGGGGGCAACTTGTGCACTAACACATCCAATAATGTTAGGAGCTGTTGGCTAACGATGTTGCATCCATTTGCGTGGGGCGTCAAAGCTTGTATGTTTTGTTCAACTGCCTCAAATAGTTTGTTCATGCCTCGCAACGTTTGCCTTACTGGCTCAAATATTGTATATACTCTTATATACAACTACATTGTTACATATCTTTGGTATTTTGCACCTCAAATTAATCTCATATGTCAGTTTTAACATGTTAAAAATGCCAGGGCTTGGGTATCATTAACTCATAACCAGCTATAATTATATTAATTGCCTTTTTCGATTCACTTTCTTCAGAGTATAGGATACATGTAGGCTTGATTTCTGCCACTCTCTTGGTCCTTCCCGCGAAGAGACGGCTGGACATCTAATAATAATCCATACCTAAATATTAGCCTAACATTAAAATGCTCGATGCTGAACGGGCAAGAAAATCAGCCTTTCCTTGGCGTTAGCGTATTCCCTTTGCCGTTGTTAGGTACAATAACAACAGTGTTCTAAATGAAATGAATCATGTGATTCATGTGGGCGAGAGGAATAATTGTTTTAGTAAAATCCAACTAGTTGGTAAAAGATATCGAGACAAAACAACTTTAGCTAGTTAAAGCTAGACTTTAAACCTTTTTTGCTGCCAAAAGCTGGCGCTTTGCCCTACTAGTGGGCTGTTACATACAGCCTAGTGGCAGCTCAACCAATCAGAACGCAGCATTGATAATAGACCACTAGTTGGATTTTACTAAAGCATATTCTACCTTTTCAAAGGTGAAACAAACAAGGAAGACACGGGTAATAAAATGAAACTCGAGGATGAACAGAGATACCGGGGACGAAATCTTTAAAGGCTGTTGTTTTGTTGACACTATAGACAGTAATCAAAATAATTTGATCACGTGATTATCGTAAATGGTATTAACCATTAGGATAATGAATGTCGTGCAATTCAAGCCTGCGATATATATGGAGAGAGGGGAGAGGAGTACTCAAAAAAGGTTTATACGGAGAGGCTCCACCCGGAGGTCCAATCCCTTACCATTTTATATACCATTTTTAACAGAAAAGGACCCCTCTCCTTTCATATAACTCCTATTGACAAATGGTACCCCTTTCACCTAGTTACAATTGTAGTTACTGTTTATTACTTTAACTGCTGTAAACGTATTGTCTTTAAAATATGAATAAATCACAAAAGTAGAACGCTTTCGTCGACTTTGTCACTGCCATAAAATGCATCTGTTAGCTCTTTTGGGTCTTTCTACCAACCGAAATGACAGATTTCCCTCCCCTTTCATATTCTTCAACAAGTGAAATTCCTACCCTTTCTTTCGTATACCTGAAGCCTGAGAAAGTACTCCTTTCGGGATGTACCTTCCCGTGTTATGTCATTATAGTTAATACCCGCCCCACCACCCCCTGGGGATATGGACCGTTGTCATGAGCCAGTATTAATAGGGTAACTGCTCTGGAAAGGCATCAGAAAATTTTAAGTCAAAGAGACCAAAGAAGCTTCTGCTTTAGATAGAAAAATGCCAACAGGCTATCCTCTCATTGAGACTACATGCATCTAGGGGTAAAAAGTGGTCAAAATGAACGATAATTAAAAGAAAACACAACCCAGTTAGTTGCTCATTTTAACCATTTTATTGTTCCTGTACTATATACGGACCTATAGTAACTTCCGTTAACTTATATTCCAAAGGTTTACTATCCCAAAAACTTAAAATATCATGGAAGAAAGAAAGTTGACTTGTTACTATGTATAGACAAAGAACTTTGTGGGATAAAAAAAACTGATAACTGATCCGATATACATTTTAACTAAAGTGTAAAATATTTCTTTTAATCGGTACTTGACACATTGGAACATGTTTGTCTGATGATTAAAAACCGCTAAATTAAACACTGAAAATTAAGCAAAAATCTAAGCTAAAGATATCACAATAAAATTATTAGGATTCACCACTTTGTTTAACAGACTATGCCGAGGTTGCACTTTAAAACTATAACTTTAATCATAAATGTAATAAATATTTCAAAACATAATGTAGGGACTGATTCCGTACAATCTGTCAAGTGAACGTGGTTCATTCAATCGAGGCGCCGATTGAATTCTGTGTTACCACTTCAAGTTGCTTCTTGTTTTGCCTCGTCTTGAGGTCGGGGCTTATCACCTTTCACGTTTCTTTCCTTTTGTAAGAAAGCTGGATCACGTGATACTTTTATGGTTAGTACGCCTTTACAGCAGAGGCGTGACGTCAATGAACTGAGGTCTGCGTCATCGGGCAGCAAAACGCGACGCCTATAATCACGTGAACCATCTTCCTCCGATCTGTGTTCTGCTATGACCATGAGCTCATGTCCTCGAATCTGGATCTTGATTTCTTCTGGTTTAAATCCACGCAGATCCAATTTAACCACGTATTTGTCATCGTTTGCTTTTATTTTCTTTTTAACGCGTTTGATGCCATTGAGGACTAGAACGCTACCATCTCTGGTTACATGTGACGTCACTGTTGTGGGATCTACGTCTTCCGGGAGCTTAATGATTTTTTTGAACTCACTATTTTCAAATCCGTCTTCTCCTTCGGATCGATGCTGGCCGTGTAAGATTATATTTTCGTCGTCAACATCGAGTGAAATTTCTTCTGGTTTGTACTGGTTCAGTGGCAGCCAAGCAATTATCACTGGGCCCGAATATGTCTTCATTAGTTTCTTCTGCCGAGCCTGTTCCTCCCAGAAGAGAGCTGTGTTCCTCCATAAATCTTGCAAAAACCCATAACCTGGGACAACTTGATTGAAGTAACTGTTGTAGCTGAAATTGAAACAAAAGAAAATTGTTATTTTGTCTGCAGTTGGTGAGACTAACTGGACCAAAACATCTCAGTTGTCTTAAAAATTTGCAAGTCGGATTTTCTTTACAGTGTAAATCAAAATGTTTCCGTGAAATTTTGAATTGCCGTATTTAAACGCCTGTCTGACTAACGCTGGCAGAACAAAACATTGCGGGGTTTGTCGCGTTTGCAAATCAGTGGTGATAATACCTATGAAATGTTTAATTTGTTTTGCTTTAAGCATTAACGAATAAAATAGGAAAGTGTCTGAAATAAAGAAGAGAAAGAATAGGAAATCGAAGCTTTAAGGCACTCTCCTGTGAGGATATTCAGGCTTATCGCCCATCCAGTTCCTAAATCGCCTAACTGAGCTCATCAGGCTGATCCTATTTCCCTGACCCTAGCGAGAGAAATTGGGCGAAATTGGAAGGTTTTCAGTGTGAGCTAAGGCAAGAGTTTCTAGGACCGAATCATAATCATAGCCATAATTAATATCATGATCTCTGATCATAATCAACTTTAGTCACAGAGCGTGACGACAGCCAGTTAAAAACTGAAAACTTGTGGCCCTCAAAGATGACAAGCTAACCAAAAGATATGCGCATAACTTGGAAAAAAATAACAAACGTACAAACAGTCAAGTGTGGATTAGGCCATAAGAAAAAGTAAACGAATCAGAGCGGTCCAGGGGGTTACTTGTCTGGCAGGTCGGTACTCTCTAGTGACCTTTTTTTCGGATAGTAATTTTTCGAAAGGTAATTCGCAAGGAGGAATTTCATTAGCTTTCTATAAAACAGCTGTGCACTGAAAAGCTGGATTGAGGCCAAACCAGGGAAGAACACTAGGGCATTCCGCTGCATTTCCTCCGCAATACTTCCCCCCCCCCCTCCCCCGCCCCTTGCCTCCTCTCCATTCTAATTCTCGTTTTACCTTGATCGGTTATAAACCAAAATAACCCACTAATTTGTTTTCAACATATCCAAACCTAAAGAAAACACTGTATCCATTTAACCAATTTCAGAGAGTCCATTATACTGTATACCAAAAAAAAACCGGTGTTAGACCCTAAAAACTCTTAGATACTGATAACTCAATTACTTGCAGCGAAGACTGAAAATTATAATTTTGAAAGGCTTACCTAGTTGGATGAAAAGTCGGAAATCCGAAAGCGAGGGCCATGTCGAAGAAACTTTGGTTCCAATTCTACTTCTTGAAAATCTTTAGGGATACCTCTTTGATTTTTCTGAGACTTTTGTTTGAATTGTTGGTCCGTGAGCAACCCATGCAGTTAATTTATAGGTGATAAAAGTTATTTTCGAACTATCAATCGTTACTATAATTAAATCATTTGCAGCATTTTTTGAGAGTGACTAGCTTGAGCTGACTAATTGTGACAAAATTTAACAGGAATAAAAAGTTACTCTTTTTTTAAATTTTCAGTGAGAAAATAGTTTTGCCAAAAACGTACATTAGGCAGTTTTGTTATTTCGTTTTGTTTTGTTGCACTGAGATATTTCTGTTTTATTTTTCTACTTTAATCGCGGATGTCACGGGGAGAACGGAGAAATGTGGTTAACGAAGTTACTGATGGGTCTAAAGTTCAAGTTAGGTTAAATGTTCCCGTTTTTCATTTTCCCGCTCACCGTGGTCGTTTCCAGTCCAGTCCCTTTTCTTCTTTTTAGCTACTTACATCCCTTTGATAATTTTCTCAATATTATGTTTTTATAGTGAACTTTAGATATTTCTAGGTACCAGTAACAGATGAAGAGCCACAATGTGCATACTCTGTTAATAAACCGTCACCTTACCCACTAACCTCACTTGCTATATTTAGATTTCAGTATAATGCATGCTGGTGACTCGATCAATCCATAGAACTGAACGAAAACTTGAATTAATTTAAGTGTAAATGTGTATTATTGGGAGTTGTTCGTACTGTTCTACGTAAGCTTCATTAAAAAATGTCAGAAATTACTTAAATCATACAAATACCTGAATAATCCATCTAATAATGATACAAATCTAAATATTCGCCTAATATTAAAATGCTTGATACTGAAGGCTATAAAATCAGTCTCATTTCTCAGCTTTAGTGCGTTCCAGTTCACGGTTAAGTACAATAAAAACAGTGTTCTAAATAAAATGAATCATGTAAAAAAAAGGTTGGTGCGCTTGTCATGACTTACAATAGGCCAAAGTGTTTCGTAACAGTATAAACATTTTGAAGCCGTTTATCAAAAATAGTCTGGGTGCATGTAAGCTGCCTCGGCAAATCTAAGTTTTCGGTTTCGTAAGAAAAGTGAAAAGGAAATATTTCAACCTTGCTGTATTCACATTATTACCCCTAGTAGCTTAAAATTTTCAAATAGAAAGATGTAGGTAATAGTAAGGGGCCAATAATCGCTTTCTCGTTACGACTCATTGAGATCGTTGCCAAGACATTTGTATACTGCTAGAAGTGATTACTTTTTTCAGTTTTACTTTTCTTAATATATATTTTTGGAGAAATTAAGAAAAAATTGTGTCGGAAGGTTTCGAAGAATGTATAATGGGGTCATGTATGGGCTTAGCCGTAACGTTTTATCAATCAACAATTTTGCAGCTTTATATGCTTGATATTTCCTTCCTTGCTTAGTTGCAAAAGTTAAAAATGCTCAAGTGCTTAATAAATGCTCAGGTTATAAAACAAAATAACGTCTCCGAAACCATAATTATCCTAAAAAGAAATAAAGTATCAACAATGATGAAAAAACTCAAAGCCGATTACTACTCCAATTTATTTGACGAAGTAGACACCGCTGCTGCTTACTGGAGACTAATGAAAAAGACATCAGGAACAACAAAAGTAAACAGACAAGCCCACCAATTAAAGAGGACGATGGGAACCTTACAACAGACGACACGGAAAAGGCAACTATGTCAAACGATTATTTCTGCACAGTTGCTGAAAAATTGATTGACCCCGCGGATGAAATTCAGCCGTTACACTCTCATAGCCGTCGGAATGTAGACATTCCGACTACGACCAGCATCACGATTAGTCAGATGGAAATCGAGGAAAAGATCTGTAGCTCTTTAGCTGCCTTTTTTACTGACCTACATGACAAAGTATGTATGTATGTATGTATGTAAAGCTGCGGGGCCAGATGACGTATCTGGGCGTCATTTAAAGTATGCGGGTATGTCTATTACCCCATCTCTTACGAGCGTGTTTAAACACAGTGTTGATGCCTGCAAGCCACCAGACCAGTGGAAAATAGCTAGAGTCGGTGCAGCGTTCAAAAAAGGACGAGAGGAAGACATTACATGATACAGACTTCTATCTAAGCTCAAGATACAAAGTAAATTAATGGAATCCATGCATCGCAAGTAATATCACTAATCACGTGGCCACGTAAAATTTAATTGATAACAGACAATGGGCTTATAGGAAGGGAAAGTCAACAGAACAGCTTTTAAGTCACCTAAAAGAGAGGTGGAGAGAAGCAGTAGAAAAAAAGCTTTATGTAGGAATTCTGTTTGTCGATTTCACTAAAGCTTTCGACACAGTGTCGCACAATATATTTCTACAAAAGCTTAACGACATTGGAATCAGAGGAGATGTCTGGCTGTGGTTAAAGAACTACCTCACAGAACGATGACAAGTCGTCAGAATTAACGGATGCGACTCCGATACATGCATCGTAACTCACTTAGTGCCGCAAGGGTTGGTAATCGGACCCACCTTATTCTCGCTTTTCACAAACGACCTCCCAAAATCACTACGCTCTGCAGAAACGTACCTTTATGCAGACGACACAACAATACTGTATCGGAGAAACTATGGATTTGCTAACAAACACACTAAACAATGTTCTAGCTGAACTCCAGGAATGTTGCGACAGTGTGTTGGTACTACACCCAGAAAAATGTAAACCAATGATCATGCAGCGGAAATCAACATTTAATGGCAACAACATCATAAAGTGGACAACCTCAGAAAGGCTCCTCGGAGAACAGGTTGATAAAAAGTTTCCCTGGTCAGATCATGCTGCAAATGTAGCGAAGTCTTTCGCATCCAAGTTAAGTTTACTCCGACGCATGCGATAGGCTCCCTCGCCAGGAATTAGAAGACTTCTACACAAAAGTGATACTTTCATCAGTCACATACGGCCTGAAAATGTGGGGATCTTTCAACAAGACGTACATAAAGAACCTGGAGAAACTCCATGCAAGGGCTGGACGAATTGTATATGGGTTGCCATGGGACACAAGTGCTGAAGATGTCTTAACGCCAACTGGATGGGACAGTTTGGAAACAACGTACAAAGTGCGATTAACTTAGTTCTCTTCAAATGTATAAAAGGTTACACCGTAATGGAATGTAAAGATTTGTTTTTACAGAGGAACTCAGGCCGCAGAAGAAATGAGAACATCATTCTTCCAAGTCCAGAAATGAATTTATTAAGAAACTCCATTGGAACAGATTAACGAACAGGGAGACAAGGGATAAAACCTTGAAAGAGTTTAAACTCTCTCTTGCAAATTTTGATACTGATAATTTCGAACCTATTTTAGCTACAACTAAAAACAGAGATATCGGTTGCAAATATGTTAAACAGTTTTTAATTTTAATTGTACATTTATTTTCAGTACTCCTTATTTTTTTTGTAATCGTTGTATGCACGACCCCACCAGCAATGCTGATCTTCCTATCGTGCTAAAATAAAGTTCTTATCTTATCTTATCTTATCTTGAGGAAACACCAGAGAATATAGACCTTTCCACGGTTTTTTTGTACGTTTGACTTGGACAAGTCAGGGAAAACCTCCCAACTTTGCTGGAAAGAACGCCTGTACTGAAAATATTAAAATTCCCAGGTTTGAAAGTGATTCGTTGAACCTGGGCCGTGCACTAACCAACTGCCCCAATCCTTCTTATTTGGATTTTTTCTTTTCTATGACTTTTCGTTTTAAGATGTCGTCTCCAAACAGGAAAAGTGATGAAAAGGGTCAGAATGAACGGTAAAAGTGAAAACAAAGTCACTCTCCTCATTTTCCAACTTTTATTGACCTTTAACTACTGACTAACTATTTTATAACATTTTATGATCTCAAAAAAATATTGTCGATAATTGCACAGCAAAAAAAAGCTTTAATCTGTTAATAGCTTTAACACATAGCCAGACAACCCTGGCCTGGTGTGAAAAGCTGATGATACTATAATTTAATGGGAAAAGATTGGCTACAACACTGTAAAATAGTACTAATATACTAGCGCATTGGTACCTGTTTGTCTGCTTACTATTAAAAATCAATTCAAAAACTGAAGCAAGAAAATGAATTACTAAATTCTAAATTACTATTTTATAATAAAATTTTACTTGTACTCTAAGTGTGGATAACTTAACAAGCATTTAATGCTATGCTGAAATGTTGCTTAGCTTCTCGAGAAAATTTTAATCAGAAATTAATGTAACAGAAAATTGGCAAAATGTTCTTACAATCTGCAAACGCAGTTGATTTAGCTTTTATTTTAATCTTCTCTGTTACCGCTTGCTCCTTGCTGTTGTTGCTCTTCTTCTTCAGGATGTGGCTTATGATCAACTTCCATGGAAAGTTCCACGTTTCTCTCACTTGGTAACAGAGCTGGGTCACGCGCCACTTCTATGGTTAGCAAGCCTTCTTTGGACAAGCGTGACGTCACTGAACTGAGTTCTGCGTCGTCAGGCAACAAAACGCGACGGCTGTAATCACGTGACAAATATGAACCGTCTTCTTCCGCTCTTTGTTTTCCTGTGACCGTGAGCTCATGTCCACGAAGTTGGACCTTGATTTCTTCTGGTTTGAATCCACGTAGATCCAATCTTACCACGAACTTGTCGTCGTCTGTTTTTGTTTTCTCTTCAACACGTTTGATGCCTTCGAGGACAAGAAAGCTGTCATCTTTAGATACACGTGACGTCACTGTTGTGGGATCTACGTCTTCCGGGAGCTTAATGATTTTCTTGAACTCACTATTCTCAAATCCATCTTCTCCTTCGGATCGATGCTGGCCGTGTAAGGTTATATTTTCTCCATCAACATCAAGAGAAATTTCTTCTGGTTTGTACTGGTTCAGTGGCATTGAAGCGATTGTGACTGGGCCGGAGTGTTTCCTTTGCTGACAGCATATGTCTCGCCCTTGATCCTCAAAGGAGAGAGCTATGTCTCTCCATAAATCACGCAAAAGCCCATAACCTGGGACAGCTTGATTATAGTAGCTGCTGTAGCTGAAAATGAAACAAAAGAAAATGGTTATTTTTGGTGATTTCTGAGACTGAACAGATCGATGACTTGAAATTTGCAGCTGATTTACTCAGCACAAGCGGTGTATATTTTTAGTGAATGTTCGGTATAGAAATACACATGTGTTAATTCAAACTATGAACAAATCACCTTTCATCAGTTATAATATAATTTGAATACTGAAACTCCAATCCACAGAAAAAAAGTCACAAGTAAAAAGCTTTTAATGTCTGCCTGATATGTATATCTGCAAATGTTGTCGAACCGCCTGAAAGTCATAAGAATAGGCTTTGGTACCCTATGGCTGTCCTATTGCTTAATATGCATTGATCAATTATGTACGCATATAAGACTGAATATCTTAAAAGGGAAAATGAATCCAAAAAATATAACAAGAAAGTAACAGAACTGGATTACAAAACATGATATTCCCGCCTGATCATGGGGACGATAGCGAATTTTAAAAGCCAAAAAACTTATAGCACACCATCAGTAAGAATCAATCGAAGCATGCAGGCGAAAGAGTATTTTGTTTTAAAAAAAGTTGAGATTTTACACAGAAAATAGTTCTTCAAAGTCGTAATTGACTCTTAATAGAGAAAAAAAAATAATTTCGAAAAGCTTACCAAGTTGGATGATAGGTTGGAAATCTGAAAACGAGGGCCATACTGTCGGGAACTTTAGTTGTAAAAATCTTCAGCGATATCTTGAGTCTTCTGGGTTTTTTTGAACTGATGGTTGGTGAGCCAAAATCCATGCCTTTTATAACAAAAAGATTTCTTCTCGAACCATCGATCGTTGCTAAAATTAAATAGTTTGTCAGAGCTTCGTAAGTATGACTGGTAGCTGATTCATCCTGACAAAACCTGACTGGACAAAAATATAGTTCTTTTGGATTTTTCGTGAAAAAACGAGACGTTTCTCGAACTTTCTGTTCTGCCCAAAATGCAAAATCAGCAGTTTTACATCGCGCGAAAGGTCTGCTGGGACATTCTGACGTCATTCTCCAAAACAACAACAAGCTCATGAGAAGAAAATGGCGGACTTGCGAATAGCATGTGCCATTGCGAATTTTACGCCAATAAGTAGTATTGTAATTCATAGTAAAACACGGAATTGATAGTAGTGATGCCTTGGTTCTTCCCTTGGTCTGACTTCATAAAGAAAAGGGCCTGTAGGTATTTATTACAGCATTACCTCGGCCATTTTCTGCAGGAAAAGCTGACGTTAGACCAGCTGACTGTGGATCTTTACAATGGAACCGGAAGAGTGGATAAAGTTCCTCTGGACGTTTGGGTAGGTGAAGTCAGTTTATAGATAAAATGGAACAAACTCTGGTGTCTTTACACGTTTATGTAACAAGATTTCATAAACAGCCTAAAACAAATTCACCTAAATTGACCTTCATACATCACTTACTGTAAGCTTACAGGTAATTTCAATTTATTTTGTCCAATCCGAGATCGTTTATAAATACATGTAAGAGTTAAGCTTACGTTTTTTTTTCTCTTGTGGCATTTTAATTTTAGATAGATTTCTTAAGTCAGGTTTATCTTGTGTTATGCTATGGCTTCTACAGGATAAACTTATTTTTTTAAAAATTTTTGGTAAACATTGCTTTGTTCTGTGGGATATACGGTGCCAAAAATTGTTCTTTGCGTGTATACATCGACAGTTGGTATAAGGTTTAAAATATTTATATCATATTTAGCTTTCAGTACAATATGCATGGTGATATATGTATATACAGTCGTACATTGTAAGCATACACTCAGAAAGAGCATCAGAAATACATGTAGGGGAGCTTGTAAATTTTAGTTTATTTAAGAAGTCAACAACAAGTTTCCAGGGTCTATAGTCTTACAAACCTTAGATATGGTGTCAAAACATTTATGTTCGAATTGTATGTGGAACCTCAACTGACACTGCAAAATTTTGAACATTTTGATGCCATTTCTATTATCTTTAAAAGGTATATTAGACCAAATGGAAAATGTCTGTTTAGTGTTGCAATAATAACATTGACAGTTTTCAACTTCCCTTTTTGTTTGAATTTTTTTTTCGGAAAATTGTGCAAGAGACAAAGAAAAACAAATTGCATGGCCATCCTTTAATTTCCATGGTCTTTTCTCTCATCATCGAGAGCTTTCAACCAATCAACTCATGAGAAATTTTTCAGTTATTGTAACAAATGCGTTAGTAGCTGTGCCTCAGAATTGCGAAGGCCATGCTTGTGTTTAGCAAACTGGTTTGCTGCCGATTTAGATAACAGGCACTTCAGTCAAACAAATTCGTGATTATTTAACTTGAGTTCCTGTAAGCTAAAGTCACCAGAGGAACTTTTAAGTACACTTCCATAGTAGCAGACTTTGAAATGTTAATTTATTTTTACTTACACCTGTTTCACATTTTTTCAGTCTGTAAATGAGATGTTAGACAATGCTGGTATTCCACTGGAGATCATTGATGGATTCATTGGTAGTATCTCAGTTTCAGTCCCATGGACAGCTCTTCTCAGTGAAAGCTGCTGTATGGACATTCAGGGTCTTGAGATTACCATTGCACCAAAGCAAAGGATTGAAACAGGTTTGAATTAAGTTCACCATAGCTATACAGTAGATACCTGTAATTTTGTTTGTTGGCTATTATTTTCTAATCAACCTTCATTTACACAACATTTGTCAGTCTTTTACTTGGAAATCTGGCCCTGTTTGTTCAAAAGTTGGATAGCACTATCCACCAGGGCTGAGTCAACCGTTCAAAGCTGGGTTAAGATAACCCAGGGTTAGTGCGAAATTTCAATTCAGATATGAGAGCTCAAAAAGAAAATTCAGTTTAATTCTTTTCGTCTACAATTTGATGATAGAACGCTCCAAAAGGGACAGAAGAAATTATCTGAGAAAGTGCTATTGATAAAGAGAAAAAGACACCTGGGTTAAAATTTAACCCTGGGTTAGTGCTAATCAGCCTTCGAACAACTGGACCCAGATAAATTGCTTTCCAGTGGATACGTATTACGAGATCCAATTGCATTATCCACTGGATAGTGATTTATCCAGTACATTAAAGTGCTATCTACCTTTTGAACAAGTGGTGCCTGATGCTTCTTTTTCTCTGTGTTGGTTATCACTTTTTATGTGGTAAATACAGTCAAAAGGCACTAGTTGTAAATGCACTTAGAAGGTTTTGTAGGTCTTAATTGGTTGTTCAAGCTGAACTTGTCCCATTTTTGTGCTTAAAAAAAGGATTTCTTGCTTGCATAATAATATGTCATGTAACTCAATGGTGCGTCCTAGGTTGTTTGATTACCATTGACACTGTTTTGCATAGGAGGAAGTATGACTGATTCTATGATATGGAATGCTATGACCACAAGCATGCAGCTGGCACAAGAATGTTTGAAGGAAGGTCCATCTACAGGGGAAGAACAAGCAGAAGCTAGTCCACCGTTTGAGGGTCTAGAGTCCTTTGCTCAAACCATAGAATCTGGTATGTACATATTAGTGTACACGTATTTCAAGTACAAGTATTACCATGAAATTGCTACCTTCCCGTTGATCATGTCCTCTTCCCAGCTCTGAAAAAAAACTTGAATTCCAGCATGCCCTTTGGGCAAGCAGCTCTCACGTTTTTTGTTTGCCTGGGACAACTACTTACTTTACTTAGCCAATGATTTAGGTGGAAGATGACTTGCCTGGCCTCCCTTGCCCATCAAGCAAGTGAGATTTTACAGTACACCCAGCAAGAAAAGCTACTGTTCCCAGACAACCGGATTTTGAGCCCCACTTTCTGGAATTTTTGTTCTTTAATCTGAAAATTATACCTTGTGGTTTTTCACTGTTGTTGGTGGTGGTAATTTCTTTTGATTTAGTAGCTGTTTTGACTGGTGTTTGGAATCAGCTGAGATTTCGTAATATACAATTATTGATCATCACAAAGAATTGCATTGACCCAATTGTTTGATCCGACTGATTATAATAAATTGGAAAAATCCCTTAATTATAAGAAATCCATTGATATGTGATTGTGTGCAAGTCAAAGTAATTTAAACTGAAGGTAAGTTTTTCCATATACGCCCAATCGAATGTAAATGAAACAAAACCCTCACGGACCAATATAGACAAAAAGGAGTCCATTGAAAACACAACACCCAATTGCTAATCTTTTTTGTGAACGATAATTTTTTTTTATTTTTCTACAACCACAATGGATTGAACATTTTCCATGATTGATTATTGCCTTGTCTAAGCTTTTTGATCCGTTATTGATTGTAATTTAAATAGCTGCACACCACTGGTATCCAAGTCCCTATAACAATAAAATTACTAGGCAATTTGGTAGGACTAAGTAACCCTTTTTATAAGAGAGGGTTGGCTGTTATAAAGTGAAGTGTACAGCTGTACATTATTAAAGAGCAGTTTTCCTATATTATCATACATTAGAGTCAGGTATAAATGTGTCTTTTAATAATATTTGCAGTGTTGGCAAGAGTGAAGCTTTCCTTTACAGACACCGTGATTAGATTTGAGCATTTACCCAGAGACACAAAAACAGGAATAGGATTAGAAATACACATTAAAAGGTAAGTTAAGTCCCTGTCGGAGCCTCGATAGTAGGCTACAGATGCCATAAAAATCAATAGTAAAGAAATAATAAAAATACAAACAACCTAGAAGTCGGCTGCTAAAAGTCATAAACTACATGTACCTTTGTGTGACCTGCTAACTTTTGTACAGCATATCCATTGTAAAGCTTGGAGAGTTATCAAATGAAAGCTATTATAATTCTCCACTTAAATTTAACCTGTCCTTTAATTGCAGAATTGAATACTCAGACTTATCAACAGAGCTTGCCGAGAGGGATAGTCACTATAAAGCCAAAAGCGTCTATGAGCCTGCAGCTTGTGCTTGCAAGAATCTCAAGATCTTTGGAGTTTCTGTTCACTTAGATGAATTCCCAGAGGAGTCTAGAACCATTCTGCAAGTTCCAGATTATCCTTATTCACCACCACCCTCCCCTGGTAGTGGGTCTTCATCTCCACCTCTCCACTACCCCCACAGTTCTCTTGAGGGAGTGTCCATGTCAGCTGAGCAGTTCCACAGCCCTCCTCTCTCAGGGGTGCTTTTACCACCAATCAAGGTTGCCACATTTGCTGGTCACTCAGAAATCAAATTGAAGCTCAAGCAGAATGCTGCTGTACCAGGACCCAGGGTGAGTTTGAAGAAACTGCTAAATTACAATGTATGTTAAAAATTGCAGTAAAACCTAGTTTAATGCAGAGGATGAATGCTTTAATTCATGAACTTTAACTTGACTGTTTCTGGAATCATATTTTTCGGAGAAACTTGCAAACAGTTTGTTAATGAAATTTGCACTAGATGGTTTTTGTGAAAAGAAGGTCTTGTCCTGACAAATGAAAATAATTATCAAGAAATCTTGTCTTTGTGTACAACCATGACTGTACAGTTGAGTGGAGTAGTGGCTACAGTAGTTCATGTTTGTGGCTGGTATAATTCCAAAACTTTATCCCCAGCACCAACTCTTTTGTCTTAATTGAATATTTTAAAACCAAGTTAAATTTTGTTTTCCTTCACAACAGACGTTGGTATTGGTTCAGAGAGAAAGGAAACTTGATAAAAATATTCTTATCAAAAATAAATTCAGCTGAATTCCATGACTTATCTTGTACATTTTTTGGAATATGTACATGTAGTAGCCCTGGCCTGAAATGAGCCTTGTGCTAACCTTTATGTATAACAGCTGGTCTGCCACAAGATATAATTCTGTGCAATTTAATAAATTTGTTACTTATCAATCTTTTTGCTTTTACTATAGTTATTTAAAATGGCTTACTTTTCAGATGGATTTTGAATGCTTTATTGGAACACTGAATGTATTCCTGTCTCCCAGACAAGTTCACTTGCTCACAGAATTAGCAAGTGGTTTTTCATCTCCAGGTTTGTTTTGAGGCAATGTCACATGAGGTCTTTTTTTTTGCTGGCTTTACTATCCGTAAACAAGATAAAGGACCACCTATAGTTAAGGCAGAATTAGAAAAAAAGGCACTTGGTTGACACTCACTTCATTCTCTGGTTGTATTTTATTTAATTGTATTTTATAACTGTTGACCGCACCAATGCATAGTTTGCATATTTTCAATACTTTGTTATTACAATATTGTGCCTTTTTCTTTGCTCAATTCACATTTGGTGATCCTTCAACACATCTATAAGATAGAGTCTTACGTACATACATGTGTGTGATTCTTTTGCAGTAATAATTAATTTTTGTTCATTCATTGATGTCATACATTCTGCAAGAATTAGCAATCAACAACTTCCTTTCCCTGAGTAATAACTTTAGATTAAAAATCTCTGCACAGCATAGCTGCTTAATGTTCAGTTGAAAGTTATAAAATCTATTCTGTAGGAAGATCTTAAACCCACATTTCAGCAATGCTGCCTTCTTTGGGGTACAAATCTATGACATGAGCTAATTTAACAAAATTTTTACTGGTCAATAGTTTTGTACCCTGAAGAAGGCGGCATTGCTGAAACTTCAGGTTAAGATTTTCTTACAGCATGGATTTAATAACTTTCAAATGAACTTCCATTACCACCTACCTCGGAAACAGGTAGTAACCAGAAACCTGTAATATTATTTTAATTATTGCTTTGATCGGTAAAAACGAATCTCAAAAATCTATTTTCTTTTTCTTCTAGATGTGGCTGGTCCTACCGCAGTAAAAGGGCACTCAGTCAATAAACCCATGCAACCGGAAGACTACCAAAAAATAGAACAAGACTTACAGAACCAGCTTATGTCTAAAAAACAGCAAGAACAAAGACATCAACAGGGACAGCAGAGGGTGGACTCATGGAATTTTAACTTTGACTCTTGTTTGTCAAATGACATACTTTCCCATTCCCCCTCAGGTGCTGAATATGACAGCATCTCAGGGGAGGGGGAGGAGGAAACTTTCTTTTCAATGTCGTCAGTTCACGATGTGCTCCCTCCTTTAGAAGAACCTGTCTTGCCAGCTGACATGCTGGGAATAAATCAGTCGCTATCTGGAAATCTGCTACAGTCACCAGAATTCTCTCCTTTAGGAAGTCAACAGTCATTGCCTTATAATTTCATGAACACTATAGCATGTGATAAGAGATTTGTGAGTCCAAAAATTCAACCCCAAGGTAAGCCCTGAGATTATCATTATGATCACGATACTACCTTTATATGGATGGTGAGGTGTTTACCCTATTTGCCCAAATGCCCGAAAGTGCCCGTTCTTCCAGTTTTTACCTAAGGAAAAGAACATGAGGTACAATCTTAGAAATACGTCAGTCTCTGTCCCTAGAATCTACACTGAGAGGTTTAAGAACATTTTTAGTAACAGAATAATTTTTAGATATGATATGTAAATAGTTTTTTGAGTTTATATTGTAACTTAGGATATGTGATTTTATCTTAAGAAATAAAGATTATTATTATTTATTATTATTATTTATTATTATTATTTGCCCTGAACTTTTCACTCACAATGTCATAGCCAGTTAAAAGTACTTTGGTTGGTTGTTTCTGGTCATCAGTAAGACAGTAAGACTAACCAAAACTCTGTTACCAATTCAGAAACTACGCGTTTTTTTTTCTTTCTGGTAAAAAATACCTGGAAAGTTTAGCCCAGAAAAATATATGTACTGTAGTGTGTTTTAAAAATGTCGGACGACATTCAAGTGTTGAGGGTCACTTGAGTCACTCATTTTGCAAGAGTTTGAGAACAATTTTTGAACCTAATATACGGCAGAGTCACAGTGACCATTTGGCCGGTAGTGTACAGGTAGTGTAGGAAATATGTGTAGTTCTGTAAGTACATGTACTTGATGTAATTGATAGGCCTTCAAGGAAGGTGCTAAGAGATTTCTGATCATGCACAACAGATGTTTTTACTGATACGGTGGCCATATTGAATTAATTCGATTTAACGAGTATTATAGGATGCCCAGGGGGCATGAGAACATTTCGTTTGTATTTTTGAGTGCTTTCTGGGACATTTTTTCTTAAAGTTTTCTTAGAATAAGAATGTAATGAGAGAGAAGATCACTGTGCCGTGTTTGGATGCAATAATGATCGCCTTTTTCTAGTTTAGTATTAGAAATATGGTCTTTCACGAAATGTGCTCATGCCTCCTGAGCATCTTATAATACTCCTTAAATCGAATTAATTCAATATGGCCACCATATCGGTAAAGAGGTCTATTGGGTGCGACAAATCCCCTAACCACAATTAATTTAATTGATGACTTGAGTGTCTATATTTTAATTTGTATTGGTTTAGGAAGTTCCTTCGCAGAAGCTGCTAATGCAGTGTTTGTCAAAGCCAAGTCGTCTGCATCAGCTGTTCATGAATGGAGAACAGGTTAGCAGTAGTATTTCAAGGTTACTCTGCTTGGGCAAGCTTGAGACACACGGCCGTTTGCCATAAGTTTTATAACATAATCAAAGATAAACTCTTTTCAATTAATTGCTTACACGATTAGTAGGTGAATGAAGAGTGTCGTCTTTGTTCGCGCGTTATGGATCCGTATACAAATCATTTTTAAATCATTCTTTGCAAAGACTCTTTCGAGTCTTTCGCTGTGGTGCCTCCAACTCTTACAGCCCTAAGTGAAACTGGTTAAGGACAAGTCGAATTTTTGTCGTATGGGATGTGATATGATTGAATATGTATATTGCCATTTAGAATTTAGGTTTGACTGTTGATCTGCTTAGTTTTCCGAGCGAGCTGGTCATCATGCGTCTCGTGACAAAAGGACGGCAATACTACTTTTCTTTTATATTCATGTTAGTTTATAGGTCCTCCTTTGCCTCGATTACACCTGCAGAAAAGAAAAAAGAACAAGGCATCGTGGGCCAATTATCGTAAAGACAAAAGAATAAAAAATGCCATTTTGGAATAAACTGTATAGCTAGGGAGAGGTGACAAGTCCACTCCTTTCCCGTCGCGGCTTGACCACAGTGCTCAGTTTCCTTGTAAAATTAGTGAGTTTATGCAACAGGGAGGCGGAAAGAAGAGGACGGCAAGACGTTTATGTGTCGCAAAGGGATATTACTTGCGATTGTCGCGAGCTTCACTTAGCAACAGTGTGTTCTAGTCTTTTATAAACCGATGCGTTCAAAGGAAGGTGAAGTTTGGCGGAATTTTTATTTTTGAAACAAAATTATTGTCTCTTTTGTAACACAAGTTTTGCCGTCTTCTTTTCTTCGCCGTCCTTTAGCGTAAGGTGCCTATGCCCTGCAAAACGGAATATGGAGTTGGTGGTCGCGTTCCCGAGGGGTGGGAGGGTTGGGGGGGGGGGGAAGGGAGAGAAAAGTACTGCCATCAACTGCTAGGAAAAATGTTACTGAATACTTTAACTAGAAAAAGTGCTCCATTTTAGATGGTGTTCAAGCAAGACGTGGTGTATCATTAGCTAACCCTGGTCTAGCTGGTATAGCCGCACTAGATGATCCCTGCCCTGATGTGATTAAATTGAGTATCAAGCTTTCTAGTCTGGCCATCACAGTTCTCCATATTGACCCAGTATCGCCACCATCATCAGAGCTTACAGGGTCACTCGATGATGATGCTGATGTCACCCATCCACTTGCTCACATGGCAGACAAGTTCTTCTCCAACCTTGGTACCTATGGATTTGGGGGAAAAGACTTTGAGGACATGGCAGAAAAGTTTGCTGTTGCTTGTACAAAAGATCATTTGAGGTACCTGATGATCTTGTAAACGAAGCAAAAATGTCTTTTAAAGCTTCCACTCCTTTGAGTTGTACTATATTTAACAATTATTCCTCGAGCCTGAATGGGCTCTGAGTCAATAGCCCACGAGGCCAAAGGCCGACTGGACTATTGACTTAGAGCCTATATATTCAACGGACGCAGCTTTTAGAAAAGTTCGTTATAAAGTCGCACGCGACAACTGGAAATTGCCACGAGCGGCGCGTGGTATCGAGTGTTTCGATTTTTATCAGTTAATCATCGTTTATCATTTCCGAACATGCGCGTTATAATGCCAAACTGTAAGTGCCTTTCTAAATTGCAGCATCAACATAATCCTTCCAAGTTTTTTGAAGATGCAAATGTAGTCTCGCCGATGTGCAAAATCGCTTTTGAATAACAAGACAAAGACATCAGTTCATTCTCTCGAATCTCCTGGTTTGAGGGAAAGGGGCGGCTGAATACAGGCTAGATAACATTATTGCATTTCCCATCTAAATGGAAATATAATTTGCTATTTTAAGCAAACAACAATGCACCGCAAAAAGTGTTTGTTAAACTCAGATGATTTTTTTGTTTTTACAGGTGCATGGCTGCCCCTGTCTCATTTGAATTTGAAAGGACAGTGAGCAGTTCAAATCAAACAGGTAAATGTGAACTGTCAGCTGGTAAACTGGAGCTGAGTGAGTGTTTATTTGAGAGATCATCGGCATCAGCACCTTCACAAACTCCTTATTCAACTACACAGGTAAGAAAACAACCCCGACCAGTGCTCGACTTTCAGAAAAAAATCTTGGGGCCAACTGGCCCCCAAGTTTTCATTTTTGGTCGCCAGAACAAGTATTCTAGTCGCCAAAAATTGTATTTAAGAACTAATGGGATAAAATAAACTTAACATCTTTAACTTAGCCTTAACAGAAAATGAATGGTTTAGACTTCCTTTGAACTTTCTTTCGAATGGTTTTCGCTGACGCTCGATTACCAGCCGGTGTTCTGTAAAATGAATCCGCACTCAAGCGTAAATCTCCTCAAACAGGTATTCAAGCTTAAGGTTCAGGAAATGGAATACACATTAAAAAAACAAAATTTAGGAATCACAAAAAAACTTATTTGGGTTATGAAAGAACAAAATCTGCAAAATTTGTTTTGCGTCCCATGTATTTGCATGTTCAGAACTGAACATCGGTGAAACTTCATCTATTGCGCGGTTGCCTAACACGTGATCGAAAGTCTCCAGAAAGACCAGAAAGAGGAAACGTTGCTAATGTTTTCGGGCAAAGAAGTTGATTTCGCGAGAAGTCTGTTAGACAAACAGCATGACTTCAACTTTACTTAATTAGAAGTCAATAAAATACGGCAGAGCTTTTATTTGCGTCGTCACGCTTAACAGAAATTTGCGTAAAGTTGTTTACAAGAATTGCGAAGCTCGAGAAGTAAGCGCCGTTCGTTCTCGATTAGCTTCGATTAGCTTGAGCTTTTATCAGACTAATCTGTTATCGAGTCCGCAATCGAGATACATGTTCGACATAAAGAAATTGTTTTAAATATCGATGCGCTTAAAGTCATTCCCGGAGAAACACGGGACGATCTGTTGAGAATTGCGATCGATTTGTCCGAAAGTCGATTAAAGTCTTCCGTCGAATTCATTCATTTCACAATCCTCTTTCAAGTAAACGTAGATTAGAGTGTTGGAAGAAATCGTTAAAGCCTTTAGACAAATCGTTAAAACGTTTAGACAAACCGTTAGAGCGTTTGGGCAAAACGTTAGAGCGTTAGAAAAACCGTTAGCTATCCGTTAGTTGTGTAAAGGATAACAAATTATCATTAGTGTACGTTTACCCAAAGAAAAAAGTCACCTATCTTGGGGGCCAGGTTGGCGACCAGGCGTGAAAATTTAGTCGCCACTGAGTAAAAGCTGGTCGCATTGGCGACCCCACGGGTCGCAACGTCGAGCCCTGGCCCGACTCCTTCAGTCCTTCTATTAGGTAGCGTTTATTATAAAAAGTAAAATTTTATCCTTGCCATGAAGAAAAGAACGGAGAGCAGTGGTACAAAGGGATGTACGTGGGTAGGATCTATCTCTAGCCTCTTGTGCTGCGGTAGTTTTTTTCTTTATAACAGAAACCAGCTCCATTCCTCGGGTGCGAGTTCGGCGTCCGGTCGGCTTTCTGAATTACGGACTTCTATCGTACCTATTTGCTCAAAACTCGATAGGATTAACAGTTAAATTTTCGTTAAAAACTGTAATTAAAAACTATCCTCTTAATACCCAGCTCACCAAGGTGTTTTCTCTCTCTTATTTTTTTTTCAGTTGCTAAAATTCTTATCAAGTGAAAGCCAAGCAGCACCTCTTTATGGATATACTTCAACTTCTCCCCGACCCTGTCTCAAACTCAAGTACACGAGCACTCAGAGAACAACTTCTCCGGTAAATTATATCATTCTAATACACATGTTATGATAAACTGTATTAATAGTTAAACTTTTGTAATTTAGTCGCCTTAGTTGTATAATGGAGACTAAAGATCCCGGGGACGAGGACGGCTACCGTGCAAGAAAGAGATTTGAGTTCAAAGTTTTTTCTTCGCGTATTCTCAAAAAAGAAATACCCCAGAAAGTTTTATTTTACTTTTTATCACCAGAACGAATTACTTTTATTGAGGGAGATTAAGCCCTTTCCCGATCGCAAAATGATAAAACTTCGAGCATTTTGACATTTCGACATTTGGACATTTTCGCTAAAACCTGTGGTTCAAGCACGCGCCCATTACTTAGCATTTAGAAAATCTCATCCATAAATAATCTTCCCTGTTAAAACATTAAAGAATTCGTGGTCCTTTGAGCCTTGAAAGTCCTCATAACTGCCAAATGTTAGATTCATGTACATGTAGGTTCTTTTTATTTTGCGGTCAGGATTTTAAGCCAAATTCAATCAATTCGTAAACCTATTGATCCCCTCTTCTTCTTTATTCTAAGTGGGTCCGCCATTTCAAGTACACTTATCAGGAATTTTTCTCTTATGCAATGCAAGTTAACCGTTTTCTGTCACCCTATATTTTGCAGGGTGTTGTTCAAGGTCGTAATGTTGTGTTGCCCAAGTCTGAGTTATCACTGGAGCTAGGTAGCTTGCTTTGTGAGTTAGATATCTCTATAGTGGATAGATTGACAGCTCTGTTGGATCCGCAGCCTTTGTTTATGAACCATGGCTCAAACATCCAATCCCGGATGTTCCGTTCCTGTAATCCATCAATAGTGGTAAGCTTATTTATTTTTATTGCCATTCATGACCTAAGAACAAAAGGCGCATGCGTGGAGAGTTCTGATCCGTTACTTTATGGGCTGCTTACTTGATATAAAATGCGATAAATGTATTATCTACAAAATAATGTTTAGTGATAAAGCAGTGATGCAGAGAAACCTTTGTGAATTAGACACGATATAAATAAGAACACATTTGATGTGCTAGCTTGATTGGCATGGATAAACGACTTTACCATTGAATGGATGATTATGTCATAGTTTTCACTACCTTACAGAACCAACAAGCAGTGTTTACTCAAGCTATGGAAGATACTCCCACAGTGGAGCAGCCTTTTAACCTTCACTTGTCCTGTCCTTTACTTACTATTGTTTTGAGGTAGGTTTCTAATCTGGTTGAAGAATCCTGTTTTACGGAGACCTCCTTCGCCATTAAACCCCTTTACTAAACAGTTCTGTCAGTTCCTCCCTAAAAGTCCGGTGGCGCATAACGAATTAACTACATTTATTTGACCATTTGTTTTTTCGGTTTCTCGATTGCGACTGACCCATCGTATCTGAGAGAGCTAAAAGAGATGTTAAACTGGCCCCGGTTGCTCAAAAATGGGATAGTGCTATCCACCAAATAAATTATTATCTTGGCCCTGGTTTTTCATAAGTAGGATAGCGCTATTCACCGGATAAATCGCTATTCAGTGGTTAAGTCTATCGAAATCCAATTGCGTTATTCAGTCTCATCCACTGGACTGAGTTGTTCAAAAGGTGGATAATGCTATGCACTGGATAAATCTCTCTCCTGTGAATAGCGTAAGTAGGTTTCCCTACATACTTCATGGATAGTGATTTATCCGGTGGATAGCGCTATCCACCCTTTCAAAGGGTTTATTCTAGAGCGCGGCCTTACGGGATTTCCGCAATTTGGAAAAAGTGTCGCATAAAATTTACGTTGCCGAGTCAAATGGGGCGCAAAAAACATAGACCCAAGTATAAGTAAGGATAAAGTATTCGAAAAGATCACTGACAACAACACTGACTTGACGGCCTCTGTATAAACTTACTTTGAACTTTTATAGCCTCTTACAGTCTGAATTGCCTTTCTCTTCTTCGTTTGAGTCATTATTAATTTTCACCAGACAAACATCCGGGATTCTGCAGTAATTCGAGCCCGGGCTTTTCCAGTTGCTCACGGCCCAGTTGTTCGAAGGCCGATTGGCGCTAACCCAGGGTTAAATTTTAACCGGGTTTCTTTTTCTTTCGTTCAAAAGCGCTTTCCCGGATAATTTTCTTTTTTTTTTTTTAGAGCATCCAATCATCAATTGTAGGCAAAAAGAATTCAACTGAATTTGCTTCTCAAGCTTTCATATATGAAATCAAATTTCGCACTAACCCTGGGTTAACTTAACCCTGCTTTGAACAACCCGGCCCAGAATGTTCCAAAATGGCGGCAAAGCGTCCGGCGAGGCCGACCCATGTAGAATCCTTTTTGGGGACCCCCTTTCTTGAAAACGGGCCCCCTAAAATTACAGAAGGGGGCCCATTTGACCCTCATTGGCCAATTTCTAGAATAAACCCTACTTTAAACAGCCGGGATTTGAACAGTAACGCCAGCCCTTAATATTTACATGTCATATGTCTCGTCGCTCTTGTAAAAGTTTACCAAGTAATTTTCATCTTTGTTTTACCAGATTTCCTATTCCTGATTTACGGCCTCCTGTTGATCGGCGTCCCTGGTGGAAACAGTCCTTGAGAAATGAGCGTCTAACGTTCGAGTTTTCAGCTGTAGAATTTAATACTTCTTTCACAGGCCCTGACCTCCCTTCACACTATAACTTCAGCTTCAAGGAATTAAACGGTTTGTGAACATTTTCTGTTTACTTCTGTTCTTTCTAACAGATGATACTTTGAAGTGTTTTAAAATAAGGCTTAGTAATTATGAAGATTATTCTTAAATCTTAAAAAATTGTTGAAAAATAGAAGTATAATTAACTAAGGTGGAACGTCTTTTAAGGGACGAACCTTATTTACGCGACCACGTCTTCCTCCTTGGAAGCTGCCACTAAATAAACGTTCGATTTATTGTGTACTATAACTCATGTTTAGTTCCAACAAATATTGCTTTAAAATGATTTCTCGGCGTTTTCAAGGGGTAGAAAAGTCACACAAGGTATTAGCAATGAAGAATAGGTCATTGAAGTACCCAATCAGTTGTATGGTGGACGTAGCTATCTGTCACATTTGACGCGAAAGTGGTGATGTTAATGAGAATTGAAATCAGGATTGTGGCAATACAGTGTACGTGATGGTGGTGATGTTGTTGTTGTTGTCGATGATGATGATGGCGAAGGTCTGATAATTATTAAGCAGATGGTGATGTTGGTGCAAGCTTTTGCAGGATTCTTGCTTTGTTTTGTGATAGGGCAGTACATTATAGACAGATTTTTAACTGAAGGTATTTTCTATTTAACCTTTTTCTTAGGTTACTTTCAAAAGGACAGTAGCAGTAGTAGCGTGCCCGTTATTAACGCTAGACATGGTCAGTCTGATAATGATACTACAGGAAATGGTGGTTTTGATTGGCCAAGGTAAATTTTAATGAACATTTTGCTTCACTCATATCAATCACAAGGAAGACCCTGCTATGGGGGCTCAGTCATTTCCCTTCCATTCATCTCAAGTCAAGAAAAATAATAATAATTTAATAATTTTATTACTTATAACGCGCAAATTCTCATATGTATATGATCAAATGCGCGCAAAAAGTCAGTTTTTAGCAAATAGTATTCCAAGCGAAGGAAGAGACTGCCGAACGGGTCTGATCTGAATAATCCCACCAAACGATTCCATCCACCGACTAATGCAAAATTTAGCAGTACATTGCATTTTGTCTTTTTATATACTGAGTATGAAAGGGTTAAGAAAAATTCTTTCGCATGGAATAACGAAGAGTATTGCTTATTTCTTCAGGATAAGATGCTTGTCCACCTTAAGGCTTATACACCTGTGGGTGGGAAAAAATTATCTCGAGGGCATGTCCAGGACTTAAATAGCCTTCCTTTGATATGGGAAGATCTCAAAGCTTGTTGGTGTTTGCTGAGTTTGGAGAAGTTACCGTGTTGCACGAACCCTCGTGAAATATTAGAGAGCTTCACAAGAATGAGTTTCATTATCTTGTGTTTGTAGTCTTACTACAACTTTTTTGCAAATTTAGGCGTACTTAACTTTCGTTACCTTTACTTATTTTTGTAGAATTGTAATCACAGTTCAGCCACCCGCTCCTCTGTCCGCTTTGGAGGAAGTCCAATCATCAGATAACTCTCCACTCAGTTCTTTAGATGCTTATCCTGTAATGAAAGCCGAACCTTCGCCTTTCTCTTCCAAACCGGTCATGTTTGAAACCGAGGAGGTGAGTACTTTCCGGTACTTCGAACCTGTGCTAGTGAAATGCTTGGCGCGTAAACTCCAAAGGGTGTATTACTGGGCGTTGGCTAACACCTTTGTTACCGTAGTACCCACACTAGCTTGGTGCTTTCTATATATCCCTGACGTCGTTCAACCGAATCCCATCGTGGTTGTCTGCAACTATTCCTTTTGTTTTGAAAAGTGACTTGCCTGAATCTTAGCCAATACGGTCAAAACGTCTTTTGTCTGGTGTCAGAACTGACTGGAAGCAGTTTATCATGAGAAGACTCGAATTTGAACTATTCTCTTTCCTTTTAGCTTTTAATGCCAGGAAGCCAGGAAGAAATGAAAGCATTTCAGGATGAGACAGTGTCGTCATCCAAGGTCCATGTTGAATGTACCTTTCCCCTGTTGGATGTCAATTTACACACAAAGGACGTGTTTGAGAACATATACAACAGGTAAGGTGATGCCACAGGGTGCCCAAACGTACAAATATTTACAACAGTTAAGGTGATGTCACAGGTTACCTACACTTACGCATAAAGGAGGTGTTTGAGAACAATCAACAGGTAAGTTGATGCTACAGGCTACCCAAACTTATACACTAAAGTCGATGCCACAGGCTATCCAAACGTACCCACAAAGGACCTGTTTGAGAACATACAACAGGTTAGAACTGTAAAGGAAATATCAATCGGATTGTTATTGTTGTTTTCATTGTGCAGATTGGCGAGTGACTTGTTGCTGTGGGAACCTATGGCTCCCTCCCCTGTGGACCGGCCTGACCAATGTGGGTTCAACATTGGCACAGGGTTGGACCTAGCAAGTCAGATGCTACAGGCGCAAGGACCTGACCGATTTGTCATGTGCAGATCTGGCTTACGAAGTTACGATGATGGTAACTTTTAAGTTTCTATCCTGATTCCGTACTTTCTGCGAGTTTAGGGTAGAAGCGCAACTGAGTTCGTTCAGGAGCTATGCACAAAATGTACAAACCCAAACAAAATAGCACGGTTCATCAAGCCCTCCCCCGAGCACAAAGTGATAAAACTTCTACTATTTGATAACGTTTTTCCGCCACTATGGCGTTCTCGCTAAGACTCGTCGTAGAATCGACAGGTATTATGTTTCCCCGCCAAATTGACGCTGGTGCACGCGCGTGCGCACTACTTAGTATTGAGAAAATCTTTTCTCCTAGTCGTCCTCTTCTTAGAATCTAAAGAACTGTAATGTGAAGATGTCAACGGAACGCTCGACAATTAATAGTCCGACTTCGGGTTCTCTGTGAGCGACGCGCTTTTAAAAATACGTTCCAAGGGTCCCCCTTTTTGTACCAAAGATATTTGACAGTGTTATTACCGTCCTTCTTTTTAAAACAGATGTATCCTCGTCTGAAGATGGCAGTAGCAATATAACATCGCTGGAAAACAAGTACAGGCGTAACAACTCAATTCCTAATGGACAGACACCAATCACGCTTTCTCTTAATGTCAGCAAGGCCAGACTGGCTGTTTTCCCTGTCAGCGAGGTAATAAATTGAGATTCAGTCCTAATATTGAAACCTATAACGTCTCCTATTCGTAATTCAATTCTTATTTCTCCCAATGTCTCTATACTAACCACCCAAGAAGAAAGATCAGCGGAATTCGCCATCTTAGAAAACAGTGCCTGTCCGAAGTCGAAAACACTTCTTCAGATGGGATGATGTGTTTTTAAACCAAGTTTGTGCGATTTGTCGCACCAGTCTGGTTTCTTATGTCTGAGTACGTTGGCCAGCAGAAAGAAGAGCAAAATGGAATCATGCAGAGAGACTTACTGGCCACCGGAATTAAGATTCCAAAGTCGACGTCCTTGCACTCTTTACTTCAAGGAAAAGGACTTTTACGTGCACGTTTGTTTTTTACATTCCTTCCGTACATCTTTACTTTTGGGAAAATTAAGGGATTGGACGGAGATGCAAAATTTACAAAATTAACGACTTTACGTTAGGGGCCTTCCACGAATTTTACAAAGTTGTTATTCCTTTGTTATGCAAATAATGAACATACCGTAAATGATGTAATAAACGCCCACTCCCAAATAAACGCCTCTCATCTAATAAACGTTCTCCCTATCTGTTAAGTTTGTATTAAACGCCCCTCTCTAATAAACGTCCCCCCCCCACCCCCATGTGAAAATTGCTCCAAAATACTAGGAAATGGCAAAATAAAGGAAAATCAATCAATTTATTGATTTCATTGTTTGATTAACATCGGTTTGTGTATTATGTCATGTTCAATTTCAAGTTCAAAGTAAGGATAGCGATCCTTGATCTTCTTGATCTCGGTGCGCACTCGTTAAAGTACCCTCTTGATTGTAGCAAAAAAGAAAATAAAAATAAAATAAGAGACGTTGGAGTGCAAAAGCCGTCAGCCCGCAGTCGAAATTCTGTTAACACACAAACGTTTTTGGCATATTGTATTAAAGGTTACAAGAATAAACGCCTCTCTCCTTTAAACGCCTCCCATCTGTTAAACGCTCCATCTTGGACCCGCAAAATTTAACAAACGCCCGGTCGTTTAATAGATCATATACGGTATTCAAAGCGGCGCTGCGGACTTTACAGCAACTGCAACTCTGTGATTTTGTAAATTTTGTTGCTAAGTTCTGTCCTGAACATATCTAACAAAAAATAGGGTGCTTAAAAACTTTGAAAGTTGCCATTTGATTGACACTTGGCAACGGTTCATTTATGTAATATGGAACGTGTGACGCGTTATGTTGTGGCAAAACGGAGTCACAATATTGCTATAAAGCACGTGTTACTGGTGCATGCGCGTCATTTCACAAAGGATATTTAATGTGTTTCTCTCTTGAGATGTTTACGAAACACGCTAGAGTTTCAAAAACACCAGAACAACTACAAAATGTACTTCAACGTGATTGATAACTTATGTCCGCTTTTATATTTCCTGCTGATTTCAGGTTTCATGGTCAAATGCACATCCCAAGGATTCTAGTTCCTCTTGTGAAGAGGTGCTCGGAGAAATAGTGGCCGAACTAAGCGACGTTACATTTTTCATAGCAGCCTCTTACAAAAGTCAAGTTGATCTCAGTTACTTGTTCCTCCAGTCACAAAAGGTTTCATTTCAGCATGCACCCGTCGTACCACAGTATGCCCACTCTACCATGGAGACGGCGTTTAACGGTGCAGAACTTTTGTCTACTTTGTACCACAATGAACCGGGAATAAGACAAGCGGACAGAAAAAACCCTGAACCGATGTTTGCCTTTGCTATTAAAGTTTCTTCCGATGCTGCCAAGGATATCAAGGTAAATAGTTAACGCGGATTGTGTTTAGCTTGGGTTCTTCTCTAGACACTGGCAATAGACCTTATTCATGATACCCGCCATCTTTGCACGCCCTAAAGGTTTGGTGGGAAAAAAGCAATGTCACGTGGTTTCTCCAGGGCAAACAAATTATCAAAGTTGCCAATGGAAGAAATCACGGTCGAGTTTGTTTACTGTAGACAACAGAAATGAAAGAACTTATCATAATTAAGCCGATAACCTCAAATTATGGGTAAAAGCAGGAGCCGAGGTAAAGGTAAACATCGTTCCTTCTTTAGATACTGTAGCGACCGCAGATGTCCTCACAGGAAACAATAATGACGTAAATCTTGTCGAAACTCGAAATGTACTTTTTGCTAGGCTCTTAAATCATCGTCTTGTTTTCATCGTATAAACAAACTTAGCCTGCAAGCAAGCTCTCCTATTTGGGCGAGCGAAGCGAGTCTCGCGAGAACGCGCGAGCGAGCGACGTTCTCGCGAGGCTCGCTTCGCTCGCCCAAACAGGAGAGCTTGCTCGCAGGCTAAAACAAACTTGACCGCGATTTCTTGCATTGGCAGCTTTTATCATTTGTTCGCCCTCTGAGAAACCACGTGAAATTGCTTTATTCCCATCAATCCTTTAGTGCGAGCAAAGATGGCGGGTATCGTGAATAAGGTCTGTTAATTAAATAGCATTGAAATGAAGGGTATGCGTGTACAATGTACCTTTCTAATTTGGAGCACCAGTTCGAGTCCTTTTCCGACCTGTCGATGGATTATTTTTTCTCGGTAGACCCGGTTTCAAGTATTTGGCCATGCTGTTAAATAGCCAACTGGTTGCCTCCGGCCAGTTTGGACATTTAATTCATTTTGTTCTGTTTGGATTACTGGTTTGTTTTTTGTGAAGCGCCTGTAAACTAACTGGAAAATCTATGATTTGCACATACACCACAAACAAGGTAATTACCACTGACCGTTTGTTGTGCGTTCAAATGTTCTGGGTGTCCAATGTGGAACGTTAAAACCAAGAACTTGCGAGAGATTCCCTTTAAGCCAACTCTCTTCTTAACTAGTTAGTGTATGTCAAGTCGTGTTACCGTTAACTTTGCAGGAAATACTATTTTCTCTGGGACTTCGCAGGAGTACTGTTCGGTACAGAATGCTTTCTTCTAAGCAGTTGTGGCTCACACAGGTATGTGTTATCTTTCAGTTACGTTTAACTTTCCAAGAATGTGCTCACGCTTGCATTCTGGGTACAGCGGAACCTCGACATAACGATCCTCTATATAACGAAATCCTCGCGGTATAACAAACGATTTTCTTTACCGCCAGTAACAGTAAAATACAGTGGAACCTCGATATAACGAAATCGTCGCGGTGTAACGAGCGATTTTCTTTACTCCCAGTAATAGTAAAACACAGTGGAACCTTGATATAACGAACCTCTAAATAACGAAATCCCCACGGTATAACAAACGGTTTTCTTTACCGCCAGTAACAGTAAAATACAGTGGAACCTCGATATAACGAACCTCTATATAACGAAATCCTTGCGGTATTAACAAACAATCTAATGAACACGTGGATTTGTTTTTGCAGCTCAAAGACTTCTTTGATGTGAGAGATGATCCGGTTCTTGGTTTCAGTCCCCCGGCAGTCGTGACAGTGTTTCACACTCATGTGTGGGAAGGCACTATTGATTACAGGTTGGTGCAAGTATTGAGGAGATAACCGCGAAGACTTCCGCACGTTCAGCAATTAGATAGTGTTTACGATCCCTTCCCTCTGAAAGGGACATTGCATTTATTTTTTTTGATATGTATTCCTGCTATAACCGTATAAACGTACCAAACAAGACTTTTAAAAACGTTGATTGAAGTGATTAAATCGACTATTGTGAATCACATTTTCGATTATAACTTTATTTTGGAGCGGTCCTGTATAAATTGAGGAGCTTAAACAGCAACGACGACGTCAACGAGAGCGGCAAAAAAGCAAAAGGTTTTGATTGGCAAAACAACAGCTTTGCTCGTGCATCACACTTTTTTGCACATTTCTTTGCCCTCGCTGCACGACAACGACGTGAAAATACCTAATTTCAACGTAATGTGGAGCTCGTGAACAGAATACAACGACTTTCTTTTTCTTTTCCTGAACGTCGATACAGTCTCTTAGAATTCAACTCCAGAAGACATTGCCAAGATTCATTGACGAACTCAACTAGACTAAATAAGCGGTTTGATGCAGCCCGACTTCACATTCTTATTGACGTTTTCGTAGCCGTCGGCGTCGTCGTTGCTTAAGCTCCCTATTGACTCACGAGCGGCAGGAAGTTATATCTTTCTGTGTGAATTTGAATGTTGTTTAGTTCGAGTGTTACGTGTGTTGTTTGCAGGCCGATTCACCTTCCATTGCGAGTTCTGGTCACCATAGAAACCTTCAGTGTTTCAAGTAACATCACAATTGAGTCCACCGTCTCGTTACTAAGGTAACTCAAAACTCGTTCCCCAAAAAACGATACTGAAAGCTTGTTAGCACTGAAAGACGTTCGGCGGGGGGGGGGGGGGGGGGTACACCCTTATTTTGCATATAAAGGGAGGGCGCGCTTTACAGGGGTAGGTTTTTTTAAACCCTCTCCCCCAAAAGGGGTTAGCCATTTTGCGGAAATCTTTTCTAAAAGGGGGACGGTGTCTTTGTTCAACAGCAGGTGACAAATTCGGGTTTCTTTGCCCAAAACTGGGTTTAAAAATTGGGGGTTTTTTTCAAAAAAAGGTGGGTTTTTTCGGAATTTTTTTTTCCTAAAACTGGGTAGGGGGTCAAACCCCCCCGGGCCTCCCCTTTCCCAAAATTTGGGCCGGTCCCCCCCCCCCCCCCTCCGGAAAGACGTCCTTGTGGATGACGACCACCAGTTGCTGCTTATATACATGAAACTAGAGAGCTGACTCCTACGATGAGTTAACGTTTTTGTAAGGAGTAGCCATGAGCTATTTTTGCGTTTCTTCCTGTGGCAGATTTATCATCGATGACGCTGCATTGTACCTCTCTGACAAATGTAGTGGATCAGCCAATATTAAAAGTAGGTTGATGCTTTGTGGTGAAACTTGATGAATATATTAAATTATAACTTTATTATGACAATTGGAAATCGCCAAGAGAAAACTACTGATGCATGACCACCGTGCGTTGATGGTTGAAGATGGTGTAAATCGTCTTTTTGAAGTCCAAAGCCTTTTCAAAGCGCATAATCGGATTTTGCTTTTATTGAAATGATGCGTCAGTTATGTTTTTCAAATGTTGCCACGCCCTTACACTATTTGGGTGTCATTTTCAAAGACCTTTTTCTTTCCGTGTATCCCTTTTGTCGAGTATTTCAAATAATAACAACAAATATAATGAGAAAAATAATTCGGGAGAAAACAGTTGACTTCCCCATAATTAGTGGCATATATTCATCGTACTGATAGCTTTCTGAGGATCCTTTTTATGTAGTTCTGTTTTTTCCGCATGACGGTATCCATGTTATCATTGTTATTTTTTTTCTGTGTCGATATTGATGAAGTTTTGTGGCCTTTCAGATTATGTCTGTGTCTTAGACCTTGGAATGTTCGAATTGTCTCTCCTGACATGCGATGGCAATGAAAAGGTAAAAAAAAACAACATAATTTTTCACCGATACCCCTTTGTAATCTTCTGAATGCTTTCCATTGTTAGAGCGGTTATCCACTGAATGTCGAAAGCAATTTCTAGTGTTTTTTTTTTTGTTTGCATGTTTACGTCTTGTGATTTCACTGACGAATAGCGCGTCATTTTCTCAACCAATGAGACGTATAGCCACAAAAAATGCTGACTCACTTATGCGCGCTGCGAGATCGCACTTTTGTTGCCTCTCCTTTCCCATCTCCTGCACGCTTTAACTTCTTACAGTCGGAACACAAACGAGGCCCCTGCGGAGAGGAGAAGGATTACTTCATCTTTTAATGTAACAAGTAGCACTTTTGATTGACTGGAATCCGACCTTTTTACCAATCAGGGTCACCCTCAGGTGGAACTGCGCATGTCAAACAATACAGTTAACATCAGAACGTGTTCAGACTCGTGCTCAGCTCTGCTTCAGTTGATACAGTACATTTCAGCAGATGGAGACCTGGCACCTAGTTATGAGCAGGAAGAACCTGACACGGCTAAAACACCATCCGTAAGTACAAGAAGTAACTGTAACACAATAAGAGAAGATCGCAGGAAATCTTTTTTCTTGAGGCCGACATACAGTCCCTTGACTATTTTGTTACTAACCATGAAAACCATCATTGGAAGGGAGTATCGGAGGTGAGGGTGCACTTTGGAGGTAGGGTGGGGGGGGGGGAGGGGTAAAAACTAAAGTTATAAACTTAAAACAGTGCAAAGGAATTTTTGAAAAAAAGGAGAGCCGGCTTAGCGAGGCAGGTTACCAATGTGAACAAAAGTCGTTTGATAGCCTATTCCAGGCGTTCAGATTGTGGGGACGGCGCTCTCTGACTTCTCGCCGCACTTCACTATCTGAACGCCTGGTACGGGCTAATCGTTAGTAGATTCTTGGTCATTTTGCCTCCATAAAAGGGCCAATTCAGAGGAGGAGACAAATTTCTGAATGAAAACAATGAGCCGAAGGCAAGTAAACAATAATTTTAACTTCCTCAACACTCCTTTAATTTTCTCCTCATTTTCTCAGACTCCAAGCCGCTGCCCAGCTGAGCCGCCAGTCAAGCAAGGGTCTGTTGATGAAGGAACACTGAGTAGTATCATGACAGAGGCCATGGTAGACACACACTCCCTTGAAGAACCTTCTTATGACAAGGTACTGTATCAGTCTGTGTTCAGAAATGAATATTAATGTAGCCTGTTTCAGGGGGCGTCAATTGGAGCTGTATTTTTGCTCGTCTCCCTCTTTGCTCCTTCCCCTCTAGAATATAGTGACGTATTGAGTACACCCTGTACGAGTTGAACCACAGGAAAAAAGGGATTATTTGCAAAGATTGATTCTTACATGCTGATGCCTTAGCACGCGCACATGACCACACACTCGTCACTCTCCTACGACCTCAAGTTTTAAACCTTGTCTCATTGGATTTAGTTAGAAAAGACTTGGTGAACGCTGCAGCTGTGGAACTGTCTAGTTTTGGATGCACTTGGGAGGTTTGCCAAGTACTCAAGAAGCTAAAGTTGCTCAAAGCGTGACTCTTGCGCTTCTTTTGTGCTTTGCAGCTTCCGCGTGCATCTACAACTCGGTGATGGCTGCACGTTACACGTTTATTATTAATACAGACTGTATGGCGTCACGTCAGATAACCAGACCAAGCTGCTTCATCTGCCGACGTTTTTCATTTACAGAGTTTTAAAGGAGAATTAAGCCACCAGCTATCCAGATCACCTAGAAGAGATCTCTTCTTGTTCCCAGACGATGAGCTGCTAGCCAATGCAGTAGAGGATTATTACCCGGCTGAAGATAATTCGCACGCGAGCTTAGGAATTCCAGGAGAGCCAGAGGACGAGGAGGACGACAGCGATGACGATTTTTGCATTCTAGAACATCCTGATAAAGAACCCGAGGGTTTGAGTCATGAAGTCATTATCAAGTGTTTGACAGATGAACCAGTCAGCATTATGGAAAATCATTTCACTGTTCCAGTAAGTAACATCAGCCGCATCCATCCACGCATCGCAGTTTTCATTTGATATCTTTGATATCTTGTCTTGTCTATCTCCCATTGGGAATTTCGCCTCCGACATTTCGCATTTCGAAATGCTTCGAACCCTTTCAAAGCGCCGCAGAATTTTTGTACTACGAGTAGGAATTAGAGCGAGCCAAGGCGAAAAGTCCGAGCGCGCGGGGGCAACCCGCGGGTGTTAGTGTTCGCGTTTTTCGCAGGTTCTACCATGTCTGAGGAAAACAAGGGAATACAGTCTGAAGTATTTGGAAAGAGAATTGGCCACGTTCGTTTACCTTTGTATATACAGCCGAACCTCCGCTAACGGCCACCTCTCCACGACGCCGGCCACTTCTTTCCGTCCCGGTGAACAAAAAATCCATAGATTGACTCTTGTTTAAAACTTCTGTACAACGGCCACCTCTTTACAACGGCACTTTCTTCTGTTCCCAAGGTGGCCGTTGCAGAGAGGTTCAACTGTATCATATAAAAGCGCGATCTAGTACCATTCGGTGGTATTATCATGGCTTTGACACCAAGACCGTTGCCCATCCAAGAGTGAGTTTTAGACTGGTCTGCATAAGGAAGAAAGCCTTATCTCATTGCTGATAACACACATCCAGCCTCGGTACTTGCAGGGTTTCATAATACGTAATTCTTTGTCCCACGTAGATGGGTCCAAGTGATCAACTGAGCGCCCCAAGTCATTACCCGCCAGCAGTGTTCTGTTACACTTTAAAGGAGATGTCAGTGGTGTGGCGATTGTTTGGCGGCAGAGACTTTGGAGGAACTCCCTCACGTACCCAGAGAAAAAAGTGAGTGATGTAAAATTTTTAACACTTAAACGATTACCGACAGTTTCTTAGACTGTGTTCATCCCGCACAACTTGGTTCCCATTTTCTAAGGGAAAAGCCCTTGAGACTAGGTTTCCTTCCTCACTGCTCTGCGAGTCGGGCGGATTAACTGGAAAGTAGTTACCAGGTTTAGTTAGGGATTCAAAGTGCTGAGGTCCAGACAACAACACTGTTAAAAGAGTGTTTAAATCAAAGGAGAACCAAATATTTTCAGGGAGTCGGAGTGAAAGAATTAAAAACCTCTGCAGATTTTGAATTTCATATTACTTGCTCTATGGCAAAGCAAGGCAATGTCTACCTGCTTCTTCCTAAGAACACGAAACTTGGACCCCGTGTTTGGTTATACTTTAATACCCTGATATAACAAACTGCGAAGGGACTGGGAGACCTTACATCGTAGTCCTGGCATGTTCCGGTAAATTGGAGAAGATCGTTAAATTGAAATCTTCGCTGTAAGGTTTTTCGTTTTAACGTAAAACAGACATCCTTGCTATTGCTCCAAGTTCGCTAAAGACTTATGATCAATTGCCAAGCCTCTTGGCCCAAGGAGCACTTGTAAAACTGCCTTCAGGTTTGTGATGCAAGAATAATATAAGAATTAGGTTAAGTCCTCATCAGTGACACGCGAAATGCCTAAAAGAGTATTGTTGCATTTTGCTATAAAAGGTGACCCTTGAGTGGGATGTAGATAAAGTTAATACAGTACCTTGGGGAAAAGACTTAGGTTTTTTACTTTGACGATTTTCTATTCACAGAATAAGTTTTGCGTTAGATGAAAAAGGACAGGCAAGAGATGGTTCTACTGCGGTCAGACCCAGTATATTGTTTCCTAATAATATCGCAGCTAATAGCTCGAAGAAATTCTCACGCACTAGTGGAGGACCCAACAGAAATAATGACGTGTTAATGGAGTTTTATTTGAACAAGGTCAGTGAGCTTCTGTTTGCACCAACCTTGGGGAAGGTAAATTTCCATCTGACATTGCTTGGTTAGGGCTGTCACCAAGATTTCAAGTTGCCGGGTAAACCGTAAAATTCCGAAAATAAGCCCTTCCATGTATAAGCCCCTCCAAATGTAAGCCCCCCAAACCGGTAACGCAAAAAACCCTCCGTTAGATCTTCCCTCCAAATATAAGCCTCCCCCGGGGCTTCTACGTGGAAAATTGCCCTCAAACACAAAGTAAAACAAAGCAAAAACAGTAAATTTACTTCCAACTATAAGGCTAGCCCAATCGATTTTGAAACGCAAATTTCACTCCGTAGATAAGCCCCACCGAATATAAGCCCCTCCAAAATAAGCCCCTCAAAAAGGGCCTTTGAAAAATATAATCCCCGGGGCTTATTTTCGGAATTTTACGGTACAATAAGTAGGCGAAGAATCAAACAGCTAGGTATTTCTTTTAGATCTGTTTTTCTTCTATTTTCCTTTGAAAGTAGCTGGGGGCCGCGTTCATAGTAGCCGGTAGCCTGGAGAAATCCTCGGCCCCCGCTTCTTTGACAGCCCTGCTCGGTTATTATATAGTTGGTTATCAGTAAGATACTTTGTTGCCCCATCATCTGGTACCCGAGGGAGTCGACTTTTTCTAAATTGGTCATATTCACCCTTGCAAGCAACCTTTCTTTTTAACAAGATAAAGGAAATATCACAGAATTTGTAGATTATAGTGAAGCAGCCGCCCAATAACTTAAGTTTAAGGTAATTAGGGGAAGTCCTGTCTTTAATGGTGCATTTTAAAGTGTCCTGAGGCAGCGAGTCTCAAATGAATTTGTTTTTATTGCTGAATTGCTGTTCTTTTGCGTCCAGTTGGTTGGTATTATAACTACAATTTTATCACTTATAATCTGGCCATCAACAGTAAAACTGTTCGTTTGGTTTTCGTATCCCTCGAGTCGGAAAACATTGTTATCGGCAACGGCTTTGTTGATTGAACAAGTAGCACTCTTTATTTAGCTATTTCTGTACTAGTGAAGCGATTACAGCGGTTTGAAAAACAGTACCCTTTGACGAACAAAAAATTTAAATGAGTAATTAGGAAATAAAATTACCCGAAACGTTATTTGTCCCTATCAGCTGGATTGTGACAACGTCACGTTTTTTTTAGCAACTATACCGGGAAAGACGAAAAAGAAAAAAAAAAAAGAACAGCTCGAGACACAGATGACAGGCTAAGCCTTTACAATCGGTTAATAGATATCTTTTAAAATCAAGCTATTACTTTCTGAAAGAGATCTTCATTCTTTCTGACCTCTTTTCTTTTGTTTCGCATTACCTATCATACTAACGCACAACGTGTTAGACTCTCCTTAGTGACAAAGTTATTAAACTAAAATATGTATATCTAGCCGGATTTTTGAAAAGGTTACCGCCAAATGGACCTTTTCCTTTCGACAGTTTTTTATTTTCGGTCAAAAAATCTTCAAAGTAGCCATTAGAAAAACTAAGAGTGCAACCATTGCTCTTTTCTCTTCTCTTCCTTTCTTCCTCCTCGCTCTTTCTTTTTCTACTTTCCTTTTCCTTCGCTACGGTGATTTTGGAGCTTATCGGGCCCAAAACACCCCTGCCTTTAGACGCCTTTTGTACTCAAATGACTGCAAATTTCGTTAGTTTGGTTTTCAAAAAATCGGCTAGATATGATTAAATACAAAATGTGAAAAATAGTTAAATAGCTTTTGACTCTGTTAAATAGATATTAGCTGTTTATGGAAATCATCAGATATTTTTTGTCATATTCTTACTGAATAAAAATTGAGTCTTCATGCATGCCGTTTGAAACTACCTTCACCCGAAAATGAAAAGAAAAAAGTACGGTAGGACACCTGTGACTTGTAACTTTCTGCTTTAACTCCTACAACATAAGTTTCTAACTATGTCTTTGACTGCTTTTCTGACTTCACCGATTTTCCAGCAATAAAGAAATGGGTTCAACGACGAATTGGAGTAAAGAACTGTAACAGTTGCTGTTATTAGAAGCAAAGAATCCTTATTCTCACCAGTGATTTGTATTATTACAACGACAATGATAAAAGGAACAAGAGTTAAAACGAGTACAAATTGTACCCACGCCATGCTAGAAACTGTGTTCTTATATTTTTTGATGTTCAGTGGAATTCTTGTTCCGTTTGACTGTCCTTGCTGATCATGAACTCGAGCTTGATGACGCCGGAGTCTGTAGAATATTGTCGTGTAACAGAAATTTGCGGTACCACAGCAAACTATTAACGCAACTACAACCATACAGAGAGTGATTCTCTCTCCTAATGTAAAATACAAGAGTGCACCTTTAAGGCCAGTAAGCCATATACAACATACAACTACGCGAGCTCGCTTGAGTGTCACGAGGTGTCTGTATCTTAGGCCCAAGCGTAAAGCGAGAAGTCTGTCGATACTTATCGCAGCCGGACTAACGAGTGATGCTCCGCCAGCGATATAGTTGACAACTTGATACGCTGTCACCACGTAATTTTCAGTGTTCGGATCTAACCTTGCAGTAGAACCCATTATTATTGTTATTGAGGCGTGGAGCGGTTGTACAATTAGACCAACGCACAGGTCCGTGACCGCCTGGTTTTGAAAAAGAAGTTTTGTCGGTGGATGGATAGAAGAAACCTTTTGAAGAGCTATTATGATCAATGTATTACCCAGAGATGCGGCAATGGAAAGGCAGATGTCTAAACCTGAAAGAAATATAACGATTCCTGTTGGCATGAGTCTTCTTGTTTCGTTCAGCTCATTAGTGGAGTTTTCATATTCAGTAGAATTTACGGTCATTCTTCCTCTTAGGTGCGTGAAACTCTACATATATTGTTGGTTGACTGGCTACATTTAAGGCAACGTGATAAATTGTCGGCCTTTTACGATTTTATTCTTGCACCTGTGTTTTTTAACATTTGATAAGCGTGCGTGTCAATTACTACTACGTAATTGTATTCAGCGATTAGAGGGCGTGAGGAAGATTCTCGATTGGTAATTAGGCGACGGGGAGCGAAAACCTCAGCCAATCAAAATGTGACTTTTGCCAGCAATAGAATACGTGTAAAATGTTACTAAAGCTCAATTTATAACGTTCATAAACGACGCAGTTCTTCGTTATATAAATACCTAGCGGCAAGTGAAAGAAGGAGCTTTCCAAAAAATTTAATGTGGGAAGGTCATTTTCTTTCAAGGAAAAAACCTGGTTTCAGTCTTCGGTAACAAACCTTTTGGTTTTTATGCCTGTCACCTTTTTTCTTTGTTTAGGAATAATAGTTAACAAAATGATCGTCTCGGGCAATTCAAAATCATTTAAGGAATAAGACACTGTCATTATTTTCATTCTGTTTTTAAAGACATCCTGGCGCTGGTGTGTAATTGTCGCAAATATATAATCAAATGTAAAGCTCCGAAGAAAATGTTAAAATATATACACTTAACTCCCACATTGACGTAGTTTCACAGTTCCGTAGATAACCCTACCTGTATCTTCCTGCTACCGTAATTGTTCTCAGTGAACCAATAACAATCCAAGACTTATTAAAGATTCGTTCTTATTGGCTATGTTGGCCTCTTAAGGCCGCTGATTCCCTAATCCCTGACAATTTTTTTGGGGGGGAGGGGGGAGTTTGTCGTCGCCCAATGACTGCTCCTTAGGTAACTTTGTCAAACGGCAAACGCCAGATTCTAGTTGATAATAAAAATTCTGGTTCTAGAAAATGAGCAGATAAAGACTAAGACAATTCTTATGCATGACTCTGGCGTAAATATACTGATATCTATGCAGACATAATGAACAGTAAACAGTAAGTAAAAGGAAAACTTGATCACGTTCTAGGAATTAACGTTTTCCTTTTACCATAAACTTAACTCTAAATCTTTTCTAATATTTACATTGTATTTCCCTTAGATTCGTTTGCAGTACGAGGAGTACCCTGAGCACACAGAGCAAGCCTCCAGACTGGTGGTGCTCGTGCAAGATGTAGAAATAAGGGACCGCTTGGCTCATTCACAGATTAACAAGTTCCTTTACCAGTACACATCTGAGGCCTGCCCCAAACAGTCCCATGCTAACATGGTGAGGGACCTTACTAGTTTTTGGCTCTTCCAGGGTAACTTGTAAAATTTTGCGAGAATCTCAATTTTGAGCTAAGGATATCGCCTCCTATGACCGTACCCAATGGTGAGAAGAGGTGTCTTTAATTTTAGACACAATCCGAACAATTTTTTACAGGTTTTTTTTATGTATGGTTTGGTGTTTCCAGGCACATTGGCCACCAGACGTTTGCTTTTACCTTCATTTTCTTCAGAAGAACCTTTTTTCCCTATGTTTTTGCTAATTTCCGTTGAATTAAAAACCGTTTTGTTCTGTTTAAAAGAAAGGATTATTGAGAGTACAAAGCGGTTCCAATAAGATTCATAAAATGGCCTTAAATCGGCTCGGGACCAAACAGGAAAGAAGAAACACACAACTTAACGCAAAAACAATGGTTTTTTCCCCATACCGTGACAAGTCCTTATAATTCAGTGCTGATGGTGATATTTGGAGCTTGAGCGGCCGCCCGTGAGAATATTCGCAAAATGAACCGTGTAGTCACTTGGTGTCTATTAGCCTGTGTGGAGCAAAACAAAAGTCGAAACAGCCAAGCCAAGAGAGAGCTTGCACGCGCGCTTTGTACCTATCCATATTATGTTCTTCTGTTTAACTAAGTTTCACGATTCATTCGATAGATTTTGCTCAAGATGCTGTACATACGCCCTGATGCTGGACTCAAGGCGCAGGAGTGTAACCTCAGAGTGTCTATTCAGCCGCTGAGACTGAATGTAGACCAGGTAATTAATCTTCCACCTTTAAAAAGAATGATTGGCAGTCTAGACTGCGCTTAACTTTTTACTTGATATACGGTCATTATTGATTTGTTATTCAAGTGAAAACATGCCGGTGATCTTCTGCTACCTTCCTCTGGGTCTCGGCTTATGTCAAAAAATTTTAGTACCAACTTACTTGTGTTTTATTCCTCACTGCAGGATGCTTTGTTTTTCTTGAGGAACTTTTTCACCGAGATCATGGGAGAAGCTGCTAAAAATCCGAAAGGTAGATCATGCTTTACCTGTTTTTCCTGTTAAGCTTGCCAGCGTTGCACGTTGCTTTTTGTAGGTAATCCTTGAAACCTACACTGAACAATACCCCTATCACCACAACATAACAGCCAACCAAAAATACATGAAGTTTGTGCAATGTAAAGAAACATTTCTAGTTCTGTTGGAATAGCCAACCTTTCGATTTCGTCTAGAAACTCAAAAGTTAGAATTAACTTGAGAGCGAAAAAAGGTAAACTGGAATGCAATGCGTGGGAGTACTTTTAACATCTGAAAAGATCACACTCGAGGATTAAGATCATGCACAGAAGTAAAGTGTTACTCAGATCGCAAGCGCCCTATCTTTGGTTATTCCATGTCAGTATACGCCACAAAAGTGAATACATGTAGTGCTTTTCGCGCTTTTAGCTTGGTGCGAATTATATAAGCCAAGTGCTATTCACCTCCGAGCAGCCGGGTAGAAACGAAAACTGAACTGGACGTTTTTTCGTTGATTACAGTGTCGGATCCGAAAACAGTGGAATTTATTACTGACGATCGTCGAACGTTCGAGGTTGTTCGTTGGGTTTAACCTGACTTGCCATTTGACTTTACGAGCGTTAATATGCATTCATTGCATGGTGCGCAAGATTTTAGAATTTCCGAATCGGGATTGACAAAAATTAAGTAATTTTTTGGTCTTCTGTTTATTCACCTTGTGTGAAACATATTCTTCTAAAACAAATATTCACCCAGGGTGTGAGTCAGTGAGAGATATCCACCATTATTCACGACACCTTCTCTTCCGTGAATGATTGTTAATTATTTAAATAATATTTTCTTTTAGGTTCCGCTGCTGTTGATTCTAGTCCCACCAGACCACCCCCCTCATCAGATTGGTTAACAGAATCTTCTCCCGAGGAAGCAACCCTGGTGAACTCAGCCACTGGGTCCGAATCAGATAGTCCTGAATCAACCCCTACATTCTTTAGGTCTTTTATATTTTGTCCAGAAGTCCCCATCAGATTGGACTATCAGGGCAAGAGAGTTGATATGGAACAGGTAGGAACGTTTTCAGATTTGTGTAGCACCCTCTAGGTTCTAGACGTCTTTGGAATAAAGATATTAAGCTGGCTGCACTGAGAAACTGAGGTTCTCTGACAAATGTTTATTTGAGGTGAAGTGGAAAAGAGGAGGCAATTATTATATCGATCTTTAAAGGGTCACCTACCAGTTAGCTTCTTATGTAACGGAATCTTAATACGAACTGGGAATTAGAAAAAAATTCTATTGAAATGTCCTCTTTGTACAAGTTACTTTTTAATCTGTATCAGCGAGTGATCGTTGCCCGAGTTGTCGGCTCTTAGCTTTCTCATGCAGAAATAAAGAGCCCTTGTGGTCTACTTCTCCCTCTAACACAGGCTATGCTGTGTTTCACACAGGGAACTTTAGCTGGCTTATTGATAGGCCTTGGCCAGCTTAATTGTTCTGAGCTACGTCTGAAACGCTTGTGCTGTCGTAGTGGCTTGCTGGGTATAGACAGAGTCATGAATTACGCCTTATCCGAGTGGATGACAGACATAAGAGGCACTCAGTTGCCCCGGATACTGGGCGGGGTTGGCCCTGTTCACTCTTTTCTACAGCTGTTCCAGGGATTGGTTGACCTGGTGTGGTTACCTATTGATCAGTACCGCCGAGATGGGCGTGTCATGAGGGGACTGCAGAGAGGGGCGAATTCTTTTACCACCTCGTCCGCTATGGCTTTCCTTGAACTTACAAACCGAGTTGTGCAGATGATACAGGTAAGGAGAGAGATGCCGAAAAAATACACTACCACCAGCAAATAGCCTGTTCACAGACCGTCTGTTTTATCTTAAGAGATCGTTTAGCGCGCATATGGAAATTAAAACCGTGAGGGATTCGTTGACAAACGAAAACGTCTATGGACAGGCTAACCAACAAAGGGTGTTTCTTGGTGTTGTGAAAACCATTGTTGGTTAGCTATTGTTTTGTGTTTGGGTTTTGTTCATTGTGCGTTCAATCATTTGTATGTCGTCATTTGCTGATTGCACCCATCCTCAACGTCAAGACACCACTAAAAATGATCCTCAAAAAGCCTGGATGTTAACGTTATGGCCCCTAAAATTTTCTAACCTTGTTGTCATCAACTACCCGCAGAAAGAATGAAAACTCACCATTTTTAGACATTGCACGTACATTTGTCAGTTATAAGTAGTACGATGTTTTGAGTTTAGTTTGGGTCCTACTACCGTTGTGTGACCAACAGTCTTCTAGATTAACTTCCATCTGAGCGTTTTTATGACCATCAGGAACCTCAGCACTGCTTGACTATCGGTGATTGGGCGTTTGTTTTACATTAATGAAGAGTGTTGATTACCCAATGTACAATTTAGTGCTTATAACAATAAAAGCGACTGTCGTGATCAGCCTGAAATATTTCTGTTTTGTTTGCAGGCGGCGGCCGAGACAGCTTATGACGTAGTGAGTCCAGCCTCCCCAGCAAAGCGCGGCCAGAATCGGTTGGCTCAACAACCCGCTGATTTGCGGGAAGGGTTTACGAATGCTTATCAAGTGTTCAAAGAGGTGAGCAGCGTGCCGGTTTACTACTGTTTTTTTATTTTGTGTTTACTTTTGTGGCTACGAATTTTGTGAGAGTTAATTTCCACGATTTCACAAGGTTTCTCATAGGCGTCCCAAGCTCACCTTACGAATTGCGTTACAAGCGATCGTTAAGACGTTGTATGAGAATTATGATACTGAGGTCTGCGATAATTAATATCTTGGTACTTTGCCCTTTGATCAATAGACTAAATAAAGTCGATTTATATTTGATGTATTTGTGTGTGTTTCGGTGTGAATTCATTGATTTAGTCGTCTTTTTGGCTCTATTGCGTCCACATCAAAACCCACAGAAATACATCATATAAATCGTCTTTATTTAGTTAATTGATAAAAAGGTAAAATATAACGAGAGTTATCGTTCGCAGACCTCAGTATTTTATTTCGTATACAACGTCTCTACGATCGCTTGTAACGCGATACCGACTCGCTCGCGTCAACCCTCGTAACGTGAGACTGGGACGCCTATGGGTTTCTGGAATGTAATTTCCCGCTATTTGGAGGGACCAAGTTTGGAAAAGAAGTTTTGTATCCCGAGAATCGCGATGTTTGCAAAACTGCGACCCGAGGGAACAGTCATTAAATGATTTGTTATATAGTCTACGAAGAAAACCTTCTACGTGTACAGTTGCATTGTTACCCTCTTTTTGTAGTGTCACTTATCTTATTGTTTGGCGAAGTTAAAAAAGATATAATAGATATAGTAAAACTATTACAAGTGCAATTTACGAGTGTAGCTATTGTTTTTATACCCTAAAAATATAGGCACACTTGTAAACTATACCTGTCAAAGTTTTATTAAATTGGCTCCGGGATAAGAGCTTTACGTCAAGGATTCAAAGCGTTGGTGAATTCAAATATTATCAGTCATCAAGAAATGCTCTTCAAAAGTATTTCGTCATTTCGCTTCATCTGTTCTTTGACTTTCCTCTTGTCTCTCGATCTCAAGGGACTCGGTCAAACAGCCACAAATATCGTGCAAGTGGCCAAGGAAGAACACGAACAGAAGGGTGTAACAGGGGCTGTTGGAGGAGTACTTCGCCAGGTACCTGCCACTGTGGTCCAGCCCCTTATTCTGGCTACAGAAGCTACTTCAAATGTCTTGGGAGGGGTCCGTAATCAAATCCTTCCTGATGCACGAAGAGAGGCTGCCGACAAGTGGCGAGCAAGTCCCTAATGGCAAGAGCTAACTACATATAAGAGTACAATTTTAGAGGATTGAAATACTACCATAATAGCAGCACAGGATTCTACTGCCTTTTGGCGACGTCCACCGACCGGCTTTTATAGTCATGTTCACGTACGACTATGGGCGCAGTAAAAAGCGCATAGACGAGACTATCTCCTGTTGCGTTAAGCTATTCTTTTAAGATTTTATGTGAAGTTTAGTGGAGCCACACTATACAGTGCCGAGACGAGCACGTCTTCTTGAGAGGGAACTGTTTGAAAAGCAGTAGCTAAGAAGTCCTTTTTTTTGGCTATTCAGAGATTCTCAACAATTTCTACCTCTGTTTTGGGCGAAATTGTCTGTCCAGTGTCTTTGAAAGAAAAGAAGAATTAACGAATGAAAAATATAACGAAAAATTTGAAAACAATTTTTTCACCTCAAAGGTGGAATAATCCTCCCAACAGAGACAGTTTTTTGTCCCATTGTTACAGTAGGGTTGACTATATGTCTTGCGTTAAGATGTTAAGATGCACATTTTAGTAGTAGTTTTTTACTTCTGCCTTAGACAGAGCTTTGCCTTAGGACGTAGTTATTTGCAGTCGAGCACCTGTTATGCCGATACTAAAGAAGGTGTCCAGTCGCAGTGTGTTGGAGGAGTCTGTAGTCTTACTAGTGTGTATCATTCCGGCAGTTGTACTTAGTGGTCGAGAATTTCGATCAAAGGCGAAAACTTGTACTGGAATCATGTAACCGCTGCAGCGCCACCGTGTTTTACGGTTTGAAATTGCTCCCTTGACAGACTTGAATGGAATGCGCGTGCCGTGCGCGTGCCTTATCGGTAGAATTGTTTAGTACGGTATGCACAAATGACCTTTGTACCCGGGCTTGAAAGTCGTACAAGTGCATGGTGTACACCTACTTGAGTGCAAAAAGGTGTTTGTATAGTGTTCTATAAGTAGCCTTGTTAGCTCATTATTTATATCCATTTTGGCAGGTATAATCAGTAACAGGGTTGGTTAACTTCCGCTCGTGTTATCGAAAAGTAGGGAAGTTTCAGCCCGGGGAGGGGGGGGGGGGGTACTGCCATATATGGGCTATATGGGTATGTGCCGCTGTGAACGGTATGGTTTTCAAGCAGTTTACTGTAGGATAGGATATATGAATCAGAGCGTTTGGGTCTAGAATAGGGTATCATTTTTCAGGAAACTGATCAGTTGGTTGAAGATTTTATCTAGACTGGGGAAACAGCTACTCTAGGATAGGGGGATTTTGGGAGTTTACTCTAGTATAGGGTAGCAAAATTCAGCTGAACTAACTCTGGTATAGGTCAAGGGTTCCAGGGTCCCAGCGGCACATCCCCACCCAGAAATTCCTAAAGTGCCCCCACCCCCCGGGAGTTTCAGTAGCGATGTCACAACCGCGGTAAAGTACAGGGGATATATTTGGGTTCAGCTGTACTTGTTTGCCGATTGATTACTACCTGTATCGAGTTGTGTATGAACTTTAGGCCGAGATAGAACACCCTTGGTATTTTAGCTGTAGTCAATGATTTCATGTGGCCAGATTCCAGAAATATTGTAACATTAGAAAATCTTTCCGTCCAGAGAGGTTAGAAACGGCTTGTATATCATCTTAAACTGTGACACTATAGCCTTCACTGGAATAGTGAAAAGGAATAGGAGAACGGCTTTGTGATAAATTTCAGGAGTCAAACGTTTCACGCGGTCTTCCCGAATACGAAAATGTACAGATTTTTAATTGTGAGAATATTATAAATATGTACAGAAGGTAAAGAATGTTTTAATGGAAATATTGCAAAGGAATTTCCACATGTATCATATTCCTCTTCTGTCAGTAATTTGGGGGAAAATGTAGACACCAAGAGTTTAATAAACTATTTTATTTATTACTGCTTTTCTCTTCACTTTTTCGGAATGAAACATGGTTCACCAGTATGGATTGTATGGCTAGAGGCCTTTCGTATTTTAGATTTAAGGTTCAGTTTTTATATAGGTTTGCTACATTGCTTTCTGTTCTTGAACGGTGTTCTGTGGCAGTGCAGAGCTGAGGGCAAGATTTCAAACCCGCCGTAGAGAAGACGCAACTATCGAACTATACTGACAATGATGGGAAGACTGACACACTAACTTGAACCCAGCCACAAAAAGCTCGTATTTTTAGAAACACTCGTAACGACCCGAAACTGTGGATAATGAACCCACCTATTAATAGTTAAGACAGAAGTCATCAGGAAATCGAGAAATTTTAATTTTCAGTAGACAAAAACCTTGTACTAGAATAATTTAAACAATATTGCATTCTTTTTTTTTTTTTTTTTTTTAATTTTT